TACGATTTTGATAAAATACTTATATATGAAATTTCATCATCCTAGCTGTAACGGTACTCAAGTTATCGTGTTTACACACGGACAGACACACACACGGACAGACACACACACACACACACAGACATACGGACAAGATTGCAAAATTATGTTTTTCCGTATCAGTGAGGTGTAAAACGTCGAGATTTGTAAAAATCTCGATTTTTTTTTTTGCACGATTACAATACTTTCTCTATACTACGTATATACGAGAAAGTAAAAACCGATACGAAAATAAATTTAAAATAAATTTTTGAGAGAAATAAAACGGTATCAGAGCATTACATCCTATTATACATTTAATACATCCATTTAAAAACAAAAAAAAAATGTAGTGGAAATTAAGATTCAACAATTTTTATATTTTTAAATTACCTTTCATAATTATATTGCATTTTTCTTTTCCCATTCTTTTCTTAACGTTTTGGGCAATCTCAATGCAACTAAATCGTGTCCCAGATGTCTTTATTAAGAGAACCAAATATTTTTATTTAAGAATACCAGAACATTAAAATGCACCCATGGAATTTTTTTTTTTTTTTTTTTTTTTTTACAAAACAGCGAAACCTAAAAAATCTTACAAAAAAAGTTAAACAGCACACGAACATCTTATTTATTATATCAGGCATCCTTACCATTAATCTTAAGAAACATCACATTATATAAAATGTATGTATAGTTAATTTAATAAGATCATTTTACTATACTAAAAACTAAATTACGTTTTGTTTTTAAAAGAACTTGATCTATAGATAGTTTGCTTCTGATGACTCTTTGGACTAAAGAAAAATTACACGACATTTAGCTAGTAGTGTTTACAAGACAGTTTATTTCCTTGTTATTCGCCAATTTCAAGAAATAAAAGTAGCGCTTAATGCCTAGCCTGTAGTGTTACGTACACAAGATGAGTAGTGGTATCAAATCTTGGTCACGTGGTGAACAATAGCGAGTCTAATAAGTCTAATTCGCATTAAACGATAGTCGTTCCTCTGAAATGGAGAATAGTATAAGAGTATAAGGATCTGCAGCCCCCCCCCCCCCCCCCCCGTATTAAACGTTCACTGAGACACTAGTAGATCTGATAAAACGGGACAGAAATGACACACACACACAACAATGATTCACAGATCATATTCGGTATCTGAAATCAATAACAACGACGCTGTGTCGCCTATAAATGGGGTTACACATCTCGACATAAAAAAACACAATTAGTGTAAAACACTCGTTTACAAATAGGTAATTTCATCAACACAGAAACATATATACATTGAACAGAAATAATTTATACAGACTATGGCATTCATTAGAAACATTTTTTTAATGCAAGATAAACTGTTGAACAACTGATACAAAACATATCAGAACTTCCTCAAATTGGAGTTCATTATATCAGTTTTTCAAATTGTATTTAACCTTGAATTTTTATTTCATTTTAATGGTCTTTAACTAAGTTAATAATTAAACTTTCATTACAATATGCATTAAATTAAAATATGCATCACAATTTAGGCTAAACGCGTTTGTTTATGTTTAGTTACATCGGTAGTCTATACATAATGTCTATACAGTAACGTAGCCTGCATTGTATAATACTTGCATTATAGCACAGTAGGAATAGACAAAATAAAACTAAATCGTGAAAATAAATCCTACAGTGTGCAAACAAATGCTGAATGATTACGTTTTAGGGAAAAAGCAACAATGGACGGGGGTCAATAATAATTTTACCCTTTTGACCTAGCTATCCACGGGGTAGACTAGACGTTGTACAGTACATCTGTTTCTGTGACCTTGGCACATGTATGAAGGGGGAATGTGGTCAGTACTATTCTCAGACGCCTTTATTTTCAAAAAACGTGAATCAGGTGACCATCAGAGCTAGAAGTACTAAGGGACGTCCGACGGAATCGAGTTTGGGATTCGTAATCGAGACTTTCGTGTTAGCAGTCGTGTGCTCTACTATCCGACCACGTCGTCCCCTACTGGATCATGAGGTTATAAATTAAACGTGAATTACACACACAAAAATGCGCTGAACACTTCATGTTATTTCACACATACTTTACTATAATTTGACAGTAGTTCTCGGCCCTTTGCAATGGAGTGCTTGAAGAAAATATAACTTACAATAACAAATCTTGAATCAAAGCCCTAGGCTAAAACACATACTCTCTACCCATTACGCTATCTAAATTATTATTGCCCTTGATAATGGGTCCTTTTTATGTTGTTTTAGAAAGTCATCCTAACTCCCGAGTAATAATGTTTAAAAAGGTTTATAAATTGCTATCAGTTGTTTTTGATTTTTTTTTCCTTGGTAAAAAATGAAACAAAAAGTAATTTGACAGATTAGTTTGAGTTTTAAATATCGCATAAACTGATTCCAACGATATAGAATTACAAATCTTGCATTCAACACATTACACCAACAGCTGGATAGAATTAACCTCATACTGCTCGAGTTTGAACACATTGATCAAGATTATTGATTTGCATTTAGATGTTTTTTTTTCTTCCGCCACTGCTTTAACCATCAGAGCAATCTTATAAATTACTTTATACACGTGCCAGTGTTGCTTAGGGGGTCGCACACACATTGTAGGCCTATACACAAAATGTGCAATTTGTTTGGGATACAGATAGTGTGAGTTGAAAACAAATTATGTGACTCTTTTTAATATCTGACTAAACAACTTTGACATCTTCATGTGAGAATGAGGTGAGAAAATGATACGCAAGCCAGTGGCGTTATCCAGAATGGACATGGGATGGGAGGGTATTGTTCCTTGTTATAAATGTACTCTCATATATATATATATATATATATATATATATATATATATATATATATATATATATATATATATATATATATATATATATATATATATATATATAGGCCTATATTAGAGAGGGTGCTTAAGATACCCTCCCCGCACAAAATCCCACCAATGTCCAGTGCTTGCGTTACTGTCATGAGCCAATTGTATCAACTTATTTCCCTACCACTCTAAATGTCTATTTTTTTTTAGCTAAAACGAAAAATAACAGTGGCAGTATAATAAAGCAACCCACCTCATTTAACACAATATATATAAATGATAAGTCACCAACTCACATTTTTAAAGCTATATTTCTTAACAGTCCCTTAGCACCGACTGTAAACTGTTATAATGTATATTTAAACAAAAGTAATATGAATATACTTTTTTTTTACATCGATAAACGCTAAATAAATTGATGGCAAGCCTATTGATTGAGCAGGGGTCTCCAAACTACGGCCCGCGGGCCGAATGCGGCCCGCGAGGTCCTCTCATCCGGCCCGCGGAGATCTTTTTGTCCACGGAAAAAACGTTTGTTGGTGATAGCTGAGGAACTTTGCCCAGAAAAATCAAAGACAGGACTGGAAGAAATTGGCCCCCGAACTGAAATTTGATAGTCAATGCGGCCCTCGGACTGAAAAGTTTGGAGACCCCTGGATTAAAGTAAAAGTAAAATGTTAAAGAGAAATATAAAACGAAGGTCAACTACGAGCATATTTTTCTAAGCTTACACAAAATAATGCTACAAAGCTAGAGGTATTTTTTAAAGTTTTTTTATCCTCCCTCGGTCCCTCTCCCTCCGTCCTCACTCCCAACCCCTACACATTTAAAGTTCCAACATTACTACATAAAGCCCTATTTATCCCTGTTGAGACAGCTTAGATGGGACCTGACTTACGTTGGGGAAAGTAAAGGCGGCTGGGCATTGTGCTGGCCACACTATCCTTTTATATGCCGAGGTCAAGTAACATGTGAACTCTCCTCAATCTGTCCAATGGATCACTGGATTTAATTTTAGTTAAAGGAGAACTTACTTACTGTTTAAACTACCCCGTTGAGAAAATAAAATTATAATTAAACTTAATAATTAGTTAGATTTAGTTGAGTTACCCTGATAGTTTCATAAGTTGACAGGCAATGATGCACTTTCACACTTAATCATCCTGCAAAAGGTTTGTGGCCAATTAAGTGCTGAAGGGGCGTATATGTACTAAAATATAGCTGAGCCATTTGGTTTTCGTTTTATACTGTATTATTAAATGAAAAAATAAATTTAGTAATCGTCCATAAATGACGTTATACTCATGGAGGAAGGGGGTGTAGGGCTTTTGTAACAATGTTTGGCGTGAAGGGGCGGGGGGGGGGGGGGGAGAGAAAATTTGATGACGAAACACATGTGTGATTTCATTTATGGACGCCCTTTCTCTAGGGGGTCATCCATTAATGACGTCACACTCGTAGGGAGAGGGGGGGGGGGGTCCGTAATTTTGTGACGATGTGTGATGAGGGGGAGGGGGGGGGGTTCAGATCTTGCGACGTCACGTTTTTGCATTATAAAAAAGCAATGTTAGAAAACGAATTTTAGACGTTATTTCGCGTTCTAGATAACTGTTTTAATAAATAGTAATAGTTAAGACAAGATTTTGGAAAAATATCAATGTTTAAAAAAAATTCAACTGCAAGTTTGAGGGGGGGGGGGTTGTAGGTTGAGGTGTGACGTCATTTTAGGCGGGGGGGGGGGGGGTCTGGCTTTTTGTGACGACGTGTGACGGAGGGAAGGGGGGGAGGTAAAAATCGTCCAAAAAAGCGTGACGTCATTTATGGGTGACCCCTAGATCCTATTAAACCATACTACTAATTGCGAGTTTTCCATAAATGTTGTTGGTCTATAAAGAACGATGGCAATAATTAAATAAGTTACTATCTCTTTCTCTAAAGGTATAAAGGTATTGCAATTGTATTATTAATTCTCTGTGATCGATTTATCGACCCAGCGCGCCTTGGCGTGCTAGATAATTCATTAAGCAGAAATATATCTCAGTCAACATTGGGTTTTCTTATCTGATCAACATAGAGGTTTCTTGTAAGATGCTCACCTAAACTACCGTCAACAGAAATGTCGTGAATCCGAGGGTAACAAGAGGTCAAGATGCAGCTTCTGTTTGCTGTGGTGGTCATCCTTGTATGGCCAGTGGATTGTCAGGTCGTTGTGAACTTTGTTGACTCGTCCTATGAAGTCGCGGAAGGTGATCGCTTTAATGTCAGGATATCAAAAACAGGAATTTATGACAAAGCTTTCGTTGTTATAGTTGAGGTAAGTTGTGTTTTGAATATCACTCTACATAACTTATGTGGAAAATATCATACAATTATATTTTTTATTAACAAGTAATTGTAATTTGTAATTAATTGTGATAAAGATGATATGCAAGAAAAAGTAATTTTTCAACTCTTCAATACGGTACGTAACACATCGGTCCAGGAAGTTTGGCAAAGACATTTTGACTTCGAGAAAATAGTCTTTGACAAAAAGTTCCCATTCAAAAGAGCGTCAATTAGATAATAAGACTGGTCAATATAAATCTCCCCAAAATTAAGCTTTCGACAAAGGGGTTCGCGACTGAATTACCCACTGACTCTAACAATAGTCTTAAACATAGAGCAACATTCAATAAGCCAATTAGGCAGAGACAAAAAAAAAAGATCTGAAGCGTAAAAAATAGTCAGGGGAGAATACGCTTTGATTTGTTGCGCACAAAGTCAGTCATTTGTAACAATGGATAGATATGTTTTATTGCTGTTTTCTTGCTGATTTTGTAAATCTATTACTTGCCTATTAATGTGGCATTGTATAGTAGGACATTAGGCAGTGTTTCTCCCTTGCTTTTCTCCGAGAAGGGGGTGTCCTCAAATTGAGATGTCTGGAAGAAACACCCTTTTTTTTTTTTTTTTTTTTTTTTTTTAACACTTTTATTTGCAATTAAAACAAGTACATCAACATCACATTTTTTTAACATAGTTTCAAATGAAAATGAAAGGTTTTGCACAAAATGAATATTTACATGATGTCATGTAGATCTATATGATTATACATTTTTTTTTACAAAGGATGACAGTAAAAGGGGTGAAGGTCAAATGAAAGTGTCAGAAGTCTGGGTGGGGAGTGGAAAGGAAATTTTTCAGAGAATGTCAATGGGACAGTGAAGCATTTTCTATGTAGGGAAACAAATTAAGTTGACTAGTTGAAAGAGTGTTTATTTATGTACTGGTCGCATTGAGTTTTCAAAAGGTTGCTGTGTGAAAGATGAGGGGAAAGAAACAAGATTTAGAACTTTAAATAAGTAAATGAATAGATATTCGAAATTGATGTTGGGGTGGGTGGTGGGGGTCGTTGGAACAGTTAAAGGGAAAGTGGTGTTTTCATGTCTGAGGGTAAGTGGATAGAGGGGGAGAGGGGGGGGAGGGGGTAGATGTGTCTGACGAGGCGTGGAGAGGGTGTCTGCGTGTTTTTAAGGCAAGCCAAGCGTCAAATTATGTGCTGTGTGATCTAACTGCTGAGGTGTTACTATTTATAGTGTGTGTGGGTGGGCGGGGGGAGGGTTTGACGAAAGGATTGCTGTGTGAGCGATTTAGTGGGAGGGTGAAAGGTTGGTATGTTCAAGTCGGTGTTTATGTTTAGTTGAATGTTTATTACCGACAGGTTAGTGGTGGGTAGGTGTGTAGCTATCACGGGGTTTGGGGATACAATGGAGTTTTATAGGTCAAAAATTGGTGTTCACACTGACAATAAGTAAGGTCGATTGTAACTAGTAAATTTATTAATAATTTTGGTTCTTATTTTCTAAAAAAATGTGTGATATATATTATATGAACATGAAGATTCGTGTTATTTACAACTTCCACGTGTCGCAATATATGAGAACAAAAAGATTGAATTTTTTTTTGTATTTTGTTCTTAAATTAGTTTTCTATGTACATTCGTGTTGTACCTGCCACACACAAACAAAAGTTTTAACTTCAGGAGAACGTTTTATATTCCAACCTTTACAACTGTTAAAAGTACCTCCTTTGTCAGTCCAATACATTATCTATTACTTCCCTTTTACATAAATTTCATTCTTAAAATGTATGTTTCCGTATGTTACTTGCATATTTAAAATTTTTTTAGATTGAAAATGATGTCAATGATGATTTTGTTGGAGACACACAAGTAGCGAGGTATGAAGCAAGAAGCGCTGACTCAGAAATGAACGTCACATTTGCTGTTTTCGATGACAACATACCGGAAGACAATGAGCTTTTTTACCTACATCTGTATACACTGGATAATAATATTCTGGTGGGAAATAATAGACGGATACTTGTTACAGTCAAAGCTAACGATGATGCTTATGGAGTTTTTAGCATCAGCGAAGTATGTTTACATTTTTAGATCTAAACTCTAAATAGAGGATTCCATTTAAAAAAAACTGTTATTGAATTTTATGATTGTGATAACTTTCATAGATTGCCAACTAGATCTATTTTAAGTATTTAACTGCATCCTAGTTTCAGTAAATGCCAAGAGTTATAATAAATATAATATGGTAGGTTCTTACGCTTATTTCAAAGACACTGACGCAGTGACAAGTTTGTAACACTTTGTTTGCAGGTATCTCCATTGGTAGCTACTGAGTACACTTATACATCTGTAGCACAAATAAAAGTAAAAAGAGAAGTGTCATTTTTTGGACAGATTACAGTCGCCTACATGGTACAAAATTTTTCCTCCTACTTATTTTTATTATAATTACTCTATTAGGCTTATATGTTAACTGAATCCTTTGAATTACTTTGATGTAAAATTTAAAACATTACATTTTTTTCCATATATTTCACAAGAGGCATATTATTAACTTAAATTGCTTTTGTGTGTGCTAATTTGTTCTCTTGTTTCTCAATTGTTTGTTCTTCATATATGTAGCCATCAATAAGTGATGTCATATAATTTTATTAGATTGCTATTCCCCCTCCCCTCCCAGCACTCCCCATCCCCCTTCTAAGATAATAGACAGTCAAAACAAAAATACCAGGCTCAGTTTAATATAAACAAATTAAAATTATTTAATTAATTACAAGATTTCCTGACCCCCCCCCCCCCCTTTCATTTTCCCATATAGCACAACAGTACACAAATCTGCTTGTAACTCTCTTCAAATACACATGTCAACATTTATGAATGACTCCAAAACAATTCTTACCACATCCAACTTCTACTAAACATTCCTTTGGACATTCTTGCACTTGGTAAACAGTTTACTAATCTGTTCAACCTTTAGGTCAACTCATCTTCACCAGATGCAGTTGTTGATGGAGATGTAAGGCCAGCTTCTGGCTCACTGGTTTTTCAACCTGGGCAAAAAGAGGGAACGATACAAATTCAAATTATAGCAGATGATGTAAGAAATTAACATAATATAAAGAAGACTAAACAGGCATAATCTTTGGCCTTATGAATCATTTAATGGAGAGAAGCTTTTATAAATGCTAAAATATCTATAACAATGATAAATAAAAGAAGCTTTTTATTTTATTTAAAAGAAATCTCTTGAAGCATTTCTCATGTTGTAGTCTATATTGGTAGATTAACTATTAAATTTACTTTTAGATTATTTTTTTATGGTGTTGGTTTTAAATGTAAACAATGGTTTATTTTTTATGGGTGTGTTGTATGCTTTTGTTAAACATAGATTCTTTTTTGCATTTTTTCCATTTCATAAACTAAATGGATAATGCTTAAGATATATATATATATATATATATATATATATATATATATATATATATATATATATATATATATATATATATATATATATATATATATATATATATATATATATATATATATATATATAAATTTAGCTAGAGGATACTAAAAAAATTTTTCCCCCAGATTCCTGAAGACCAGGAAAGTTTTTTTGTTACCTTGTCTTCTGCGAGTAATGGTGCAAGAATTTTGCCAAAAACATTAGAGCTTGTAATATTAGCAAACGATTCACCTGTTCGCTTCTCTGCTGTAAGTTGTCACATAAAATATTATATTAAGGTTGGCTTTAGTAAGTTATCTGATAAAATATTCATTATATGCTTGAATCCTGTAGATTGTCACACAAATTTACTCACCTTTTAAATCTGCTCTAGGCTGAATATCGTTTTGATGAGGGACCAGGAACGAGAACAGTGAGTGTAGCAGTAACTCGGGGCCTCATGGAAGATGGTAGATCTTTAGGCCCTGTTACTGGAACTATATATGCTGACTTTAATTTTGTCAGTAAGTCAGCTCTTCAAGGCTCTGATTTTATCGGGAAGGATGGGACTGTTGGATTTGGCCCAGGGGAAATCAGAAAATTTATTTCCTTTGATATTATTGATGACACTGTTCCTGAACTGGAGGAAAATTTTGACATCCGTCTGTTAAATCTAAGGGTAAGACAATCACTAAAATGTTTTACTAATGAAATGGTTATTTTTAATCCTGATTTAAAAGTGGGCAAATATTTTATGATCCTTTATGCAGTATTCTCAAATAGTGAATAAAATAATTTTTAATTGTTTTCTGTATAATATCAGGGAGATGCAGTGTTTATTTCTCCAAGTGTGGCTACAATAATTATCAATGCCAATGATAACCCAAGTGGTATTCTTAGCTTCAAACCTGATACACAAGGCAATGCACCATTTATAAGAGTGAATGAAGATACTTTTACCACTGTAGAATTCCAAGTTCTCAGATCTGATGGAACTTTTGGAAATGTAACTGTGCGGTGGTCAATACTAAGGCTAGGTGGATCTTCAGCTCCTGTAACTGATGACATTGGACCAGCAGAGGGTAGGCCAATGCATTTTTCATGTTTTGTCCTTAAAATTAGCCATTTAAGAAAAAATCAACTATGATTCAAGCATTTTATAAATCACTCAAAAGCCTTAAAAAATTAAGTTAATAATAAGATGTTTCATTTTTCAAAAATGTCATTTAGATATTTTTAAAACCTTTGACGAATTTTTCAATGTTTCAATAATGAGTTTTATCTTTTTATTAGATTTGTAAGCCTGGCTTTCTCTTAACCGTTGATGATTAAACTAGTTGCAAATTTTTAAAAAATCTTAATTAGTCTTCAAAAATTAGTAACTGCATCTAGTTCACATAAAACTTATTTTTTGTTGTTATTGACAATTTATGTTTCTTTTTACTCTTAATATCCTCAGGTTTGCTGGTATTTGCAAATGGCCAAAACGAGGCTAAAATATCTCTGACAGTTGTTCAAGATAATAACCCAGAGCCATCAGAAATGTTTTCAGTGAATTTGACATCAAATTCAGTCACCGGCCAAGCAAAAGTTGAGGGGATAACAAGTGTTCAACTGCTAATAGAAGACAGTGATAATATGTATGGGACTGTTGAGTTTGGACCTGGTACAGAGAATAAGCTCATTACAGTCAGTTGCCTTCTGCTTTTTATAGTGATAACAGTATGTTACATACGTGCAGTAATAACATTTATAATATGAAATTTGTGTTTTCAATTATTGTATAACACTTACAGAACCAATCACCGAGACAACTGCAGCTATCTATAACAAGATCTGGAGGACGAGATTTGAATTTAATTGCTAATATAACAGTAACTTATATTGACAACACTAATACAGAATCTGGTAATATATTTTTATTTTTTATAAAATTAATATAGGTCAAATATCAAAGAGAAAACAAAATTCCTGTTTACCTAATGAGCATTATAACAATGTTATTTTGAATAGATGCTGTGTTTGTCAACCCTTTGCAAAGTGTTATCTTGCCAGCTAGTGAAGATCCTGTAATAGCTAAATTTGAACTCAGATCCTCCACTTTTCTTGTTATTGGTGGGGTTTTTAAAGCCTTAATTGCTAATATTGACTTTCAGACACGTAAGTACCATAACTTTATACATACACATAATTATGATACTAAAATGTTGTTTATGTGTTTATCAGTTTATGAATCTATAGTATAGGCCATACATTGAAGTAATATTTGACGTTAATTTATTAAAGCTCCTATGTATGCTGCATACAATAGCCCAAAGCTAGGAGCTCGTCAGTCTGTATCCATCTCAGTCTCTTCTTCTGAAGCTAATGGAGAAACAGGATTCTTCAATGTTAGCAATCAGGTTGTAGATGAACCTAGTACAGGAGTTTCACAGGTATTTTGTATTCAATCATTTTTAACTGATTTCAAATAAAATATAACTGTGTCATTTTGATGTAACCAGGGGTTTAAAGTTTGTTCATAAAACATTTGTGACTTTTCATCATTAAAACAACTAGGTCAACCTGCTAGTCAGCCGTGAAGGTATGAGTGGACGCGCTGTTATAAAATGGTCGTTGTCTGGGAAAGATGTCACAGCTGATGATGTTACAGCACTTCAAGGAAATTTAACACTCGAGTCTGGTAACATATCTTTAATAGTTATTTAAGAGTATGCTAAAGATATTATTTATATTATCTTTTTATTTAACTTTATTATAAAAAAATTATTCCTTTAATTGTGATTTTTTTTTTAGGTATGTCAGAAACATTCCTGACAATTGGCATAAAGGCAGATGACATCCCTGAAGTAGATGAATATATGCTAGTGACACTTGACAGTATAGAGCCTAGTGATACACAGAGGCTTAGACCAGGCTTAACTAGTGTAACCATCACTATTAATGCCAACGATAACCCTGGAGGAGCTCTTCAGTTTTCTTCCAAGATGAACTCAAACTACACTATAGCGGTGTGTATCAGTTGCTGAAGTTTTGAATAGTTTAATAAACTGAGGCTATGTTTAACTTATTGTAAAATGTTGATATTTATATATTTCAGGAAGGTGGTGATGCAGTTGATGTAATTATTGAACGTATTGGTGGTAGTTTAATTGAGAGTTCGGTACAGTATTCTATTGAACCTAATGGAGCTGATGAGTTTTATGGAGCAACTAATATTCTGGTGTTTCCCCCTGGAGTAAATGAAGCAAGTGCACGCATTTTAGCAAAAAAAGATGGAATACCAGAGGTAGCTAAAAATATTTTATATATTATAAAATTAATCAACATTTATCTGTTAAAACAAATATGTTTTGTAATATAAAACTGTTAAAAATCTGTATTTAATAAAGGATGTTAAACTCCTTAAATTTTAATAATTTTAAATTCAAACTAATAATAATCTAATTTATATTTGACTTGGAAACTTTTTAATACGTAGAAAATGTATACATCTATCAATATATAAACAGTAGCTAATTACAAATCCATAAAAATAGTTCTCATACAATTTATATAGGCTTATACAATTTTTTAGACATATTTCTTTATGTCTTTAAAGACACAGCATAAAATATAATCAATCAACATACAAGTATCACATTATGGTACTGTAAGAGTAAAAAAAATAATTGTATTTGTACTTATGAATAGTTAGTTAACTATTGCTCATTTTATCCAGTTAGCTGAGGATTTTAGGCTTGTACTGACTTCTGTAAAACAGTCTGTTATTGGCTCAAGAAATGTGATTTACCTCACAATACCAGCTAATGACAACCCCTATGGAGTCATTCAGTTCTTCACTGATCCAACACTCATATACACAGGTTAGCCAACACACACATTTTAATACCAGTAAGCTATTCTTCAATCATTATTCAAATAAAATTAAAAGGAAAATTGTGTTTTTATTTTTTATTATAGGTGAGGGTCAGACAGGGGAGCAAATAAATGTAACATTACCTGTGCAGCGAGATTATGGCACATTTGGCTCAGTCAATGTGTCTTGGAGAATTACACCCAGTCCCCAGAATGACCTGATTCCCTCATCTGGTCTCATTATATTTGAACCAGGACAGTCTGTTCAGTATATAAAACTCAGTGTGGTCAATGATGATGTAAGAATTCTTTTAAAATTTAGTTGAGTCAGAAACTAATATAACATAAATGTCAATATTTTGTTTTATAATTATACAACTAATTCTGTTAATTAAACAATTACTTTTTAAAAAAAAAGAATAGGTTACTTGTGTTACTGACATTCAAAAATAGAAAAAATAAAAATTAATAGAATGTAATTAAGTTGAATGTGTTTACATAAATATTTCTAAATTTAGATTCCAGAACCAGATGAGACTTATGCGGTCCAGTTGTCAGCCCCACAGAATGGTGCTATAGCTGGGATACCAATGGTGGCTACAATTATCATCAGAGAAAATGACAATCCTGTTGAATTCACTCGTAATTATTTTTAAAAAATAATTAAAATTATCTAAATTTTCTTAACTAGTAGATTCATTTTACAGAATCAAGGACTGTGTTGTGACACATTATAGTCATAACGTTTGTTGATATTTACAAGCTTGGAATATGCATATAAATTGTTTTATTGTGTATATTTGATATAAAGTAAATGATGTTTATATTTTATTTCAGAAATGGTGGTGTACGCTATTGAGCCACAAAACATAACTTTGACTGTGACCAGACAAGGAAAAATTGATGCAGAGTCCCGAGTTCATTATCGCACTTTAGATGGCTCGGCATCATTTCTAGAGGGGGATTACACCCAGATTCCAACAACTCTGCTCCTGTTTTCTGCAGGGCAAAGAGAGAGATCTTTACAAGTCTCTGTACTAGATGATAACATTCCTGAGGGAAATGAGACATTTTCTGTCCAACTCTTTGATGTTGCTGGTCAGTGGAGATTCCTATATTTCTATATTTGCTTACATATGACTATTCTGTCTTTCATAATATTACTCTTTATAATTTAAAATTCTTTTTTGTTCTGTATACATTTAACAAACAAATTATGTCTATCTCATGAATCAGGTGATTTGATAGTTACCAGTAACTCAACAGCAACAATTGTTATACTTGCCAATGATGATGCCTATGGTGTATTTAACTTTTCCCAACCTGCTGATGCTAAAGTTGAAGAGGGAAGCACAGTTTACTATGAGTATGCCTTCATTGATTTACATTGTTTTGTTAAGTATTTGTTTAACTATTTATATCCTTGAATGCACCCAGCTCTGATAAGTACCTGACTTACATTGGGGAATTAAAGGTGGCTGGGCATAGTGCTGACTCATCCACTGAGGTCAAGAAACATGAACTGGCCAATGGGTTGCTAGGTCTTAAGAGGAATTTTAATTTACAATACAAAACAAAGTAGACTATCTATTTGATTATAAAACTACTTTAAATAACTAAAATTTGTGAAATTTGTAGAATAAAATAATTAAAATCTCAGCTTCTTATTCTTTAAATCATTGTTGTGTTGTTATCTGCAGCATCCTTAGAAGTAGAGGAAGTTTTGGATCAGTCAGAGTGTACTGGGAGCTGAGGAGCTCCTCTAATGTCCTGTTAGCACCCGGTGATGAGTTCGCAGTTACCAGTGGTTATGTTGACTTCTCGTCACAAGAAAGCCAAAAACCTCTAGCAGTAACCCCGTTAGCTGATGGTATACCAGAACCTGATGAACAGTTTTTCTTGACACTCACTAGACTTGATGGTAACACATTTGTGATATTATTATTAGTAAAAATATATCCTTGTTTTATTTATACAGCATTTATTACATTTAGAATTACATTTACATTATAACTAATAAATAAATGATTTGAAAAATAATAATTGCTTATATTCTTCTAAGTTTTGATCATAATATGTCATTTTAAATTTATATTGAGATTTTGTTGAAATTTTTGTAGTACTTATTGGAATCACCAATGGGAATTTGGCCTCACTGGCTAAAACAGGAACTGTAGCTACTGTTAGAGTCCCAACCAGTGATGACCCGTATGGAAGAATGGCTTTTCTAACACGAGATTTGGAAGTAGCTGAGGATTTTTACCCAGGTAACGAGGCAAGCACCAGAGCTAATTTTGTTGTAGAAAGACGCCAAGGAACTCAAAACAAAATTCAGGTATTTAATTTTTTTTCAAAAGATAGATCTAGATCTAAAATGTATTTAATTTAAATAATTCAAGTAGCACTTAAATTGCTTCTGAGAATAATTTAATCAGTGTTTCTTCAGACTTTTTTCTCTAGGGGAAACACATAAAACTTTAGGGGGGGGCAGGGGTAAAATTATATATTTTTAATATAAACTATATTTCATTCGGGAATTGGGGGTGGACATGCTTTAGGTGGGGGGGGGGGGGGGACGGACCTGAAAAAAACTCTGAAGAAACAAACTGTAAACACCTGAAGAAACAAACTGTAAATAACCTTGTTCAATGACTTAATGAATACAGGTTCTGTGGGAGATCGTCTCAGACAAACTAGGTGGATCATTACCTCAAGTATATGATCTTCTCTTTACTGGTCAGTGGCCTAGTACTGTGGCATCCATACCATCTAAACAGAGACCAGGGACAGCAACTCCTGTAGCTCTATTCTCTGGAGTATCAAGTAAATACTGCATATCAGTACATTTTACCAATTTATTAATTCACATATAACATTTTTTGTTTATAATAAAAAAACGATATTCTATGAGTTGAGATTCATTAATTTATAAACTGCCAAAAAACACATTGATTTGACAGGAGAATATTTTTTATTCAAGACTCACATTTTTTCCAGCTAGTTTTGTTACTGTGACCTCTGACTTTGAGCCAGCCCTATCAGATCTTTCTAGTGGGTTCTCCTTGTCTGCCTGGGTGCAGCCTCTGACTGGTGGCTACATTGTAGCACGCTGCACCAGTGATGGAAACACTCACTTCTACAGTCTCAAGCTGACCACTACATCAGCAACAACATCCCTCCAGCTAAGGTTATCTACCAAACAACAGGTAACCAAAGGAAAGAGAGTTTTAAAAGTAGTTGATTACTACGAATGTAAGCCTATTATTTTGCTTACACTTAGAAACATGTTTTGAATGAAAATAGGTTTTATAAAAGCTATTTAAAAAGTGCCTGAACTACACCGCATTATAACTTTTGAAAAAGTTTTTCATATTTTGTTTTCAACCTTTCTTTCTATTACTGAATCAATTTTCTCTTTTTGAAACATTATTGGAAAAAAAAATTAATTATTTTTCTAATACCAACAGTCAAATCAGTTATTTACTGTTGATGTAAACATGGGAATAGTGGACGGGAAATGGCATCACATATTTGTGTCTGTATGGAACACACTTAACTTTTATTTGGATGGAAAACTAGTCGGATCATCGTAAGTTTGTTTCATATTTGCTTTAAAATATCCACATCATCATTTGTTTAAATATATCTGGCCATAATGGCTAGTTGTTTTTATAAATTATTACATTAATTGCTAGGTCAGTATCAAATTTTGCAATGCTGGAAGGCTCCGGATCACTTCTAGTTGGGGCTCGTACGCCAGGTTTAGAGCTATTCTCTGGTTACATGCAAGATGTCAGAATTTTCATGAGAGCATTAGAAAATCGGTGAGTGGAGTATTTTTAAATGAATAAATTATGATTATCTTTTAATCTGATTATAAAAATAGTGAATGTACAGAAATACTTAATGATAATGTTAATTTTCATTATTTATTATTTGAATCAGTTCTGTGGCTGAATTGTTCACCATGCCGAGCATCCAAGACGTCACTCCAATTTCTGGAATATTAACATATGATGTTGGAGTTAAAACACAGAACTTCACAGTGTCGTCAATACAAGACACTGAAGAGGAAAGCCGGGAGATTTTTATTGTCATCCTATTAGATACAGTAGGGGGTGCAACTCTTGCTTCAACTGATTCACGTACAACACTTGCAGGTAACTAACATTATCACACTTAAAATATTTTTAAAATATTAATTTTTATTAATTTTTATAGAACTACTTAAAAAAATAAATTTTCACTAGCTAATTTATTTATTCATAAATATAAGCACATTCTTGTGTACCTCTTTTTGCTGAATTGTTATGATTAATTTTTCATTAGAAGATGTTTTATTTTTTTAAAGATAGACTTACATCTAGTTTATTAGAATTAATAAATCCGTGTAAATTTTGAAAATGCATTCAGTATAAAAGTTGAAAAATAACATGTCAAAATTATTACTGAAAAATGTAGCATTTCGACCTTTAAACATTGTTTAAACTATGATTTGATCCTTGAAACTTTGAAAAGCCTAACTTTCTTTTAGAATTTTAAATTTGAGAAAAAAAACAATTGATTCAAGTAGATTTCACAGTTGTAGTTGCTGTAAGTTTATTTTTATTTCTTTTTCTATAGTCCTACATAAATAATAGCTAAGAAAATGTGTTAAAGAAGATTGACTTATGTTATTTGCAACAGTTATGAAAAGTGACAATGCAAACGGATTGTTTGGCTTCTCTGGAGATTGCAATCCATCCAGAGTTCTCTATGAAAATGGCACCATCACTTGCACATTGCTCCGTACTCGTGGGGACGCTGGCACTGTTACTGTGTCATGGGTTGTCAACCAGAAACAGAACCAAGTCACACTGCAAGCTACCACTGACTTCGACAACAGCAATGGAACAGTTGTCTTTTTACCAGGGGAGAGAAACAAGGTAACTTTCATAAAATATTTTATTGTGTGAAATACCAAAGTATCAAATATATTTAAAAAATAATTTTTTTTATTTAGTTTCAAAGCATATTCATAAATAAAATTTTGTTTAATTACCTACATATATATAAAAAAGCTACTTATTAATCTATTCATTAAATATATATAAAAAAAAAAAACAAATTTAATTTAGTTTCAAAGCAAATTCATTATTTTCCTACATAAATTTTAAAAATCTATTTATGGTTTTATTGACTTAGTCTGATGTATGATTTGCATTATTTAGACTTTTGACATCCGTGTAACTGACGACACTGTACCAGAACTGGATGAATTGTTTGAAGTTGTCCTGACATCAGTTGTGTCAGATGATGGTCTTGTTGGATCCACCAACACTAGTGGGGCTAGCATAGATCCCACCAAACAAACTGCGCAACTCTCCATTGCTGAGAATGATTACCCCTATGGTTATCTACAGTTTTCAAACAGACTAGGTGTTCCTCCTGCACCTTTTATACTAATACCACCTAACACTGCACCAATAGAAGTAAATATATTCTTTCATTAATAAATTTCTTCTTTTAAGTTAACTGCTTGATTAATATTTTTGAAAGTATGGTTTGTTTAACTTAAGCAAAAAAAAAACCAAGTACACATTTAAACATTTTTTTTAGTAATTTCTATATCAATTTAAAAAAACTCTAAATTCGCTATTCTATATATGCAACTATAGTCCTTTCTTATTAATGTTGTTATATTTAAAATATAGATTTTGTATAATATTTCTTACCCAACTTACAAGTGATTATTTATTTAAAATATTGAATCAGTCCAATATTTCTTACTTGTTTCTAATATCAATAGGTGAGTGTGCCTGAAGAGGGAGGACTAGTCCCACTGGTGGTGCTGCGTGCTCAAGGCAATGTTGGAACCATCAGAACTGAATGGAGAACTATAGACATGACAGCTTTTAGTGAGGGGAAATCTCCACCTGACTATGTGGTAGGAAATTTCATGTTGTTTTTTTAATATAGTGTTTATAGGATATTTATTTATATAAAAATATCTATGATTCATTGACATTTTAAAAGTGTAAAACATCTGAATTTTAGAAATATAAATATATTAAATCATGAGATATTAGACATAAAATTCTAACGCTTATTTTCATGATTATACTTTCAACAGATATCGGTAAGAAATGCACATTTAAAAAAACTATTACTCAATGCAAAAAAAAAATCCTCGCTTTTAACATATTAAGATTTGGTGGTGGTGGAACAGTCTATTTTAATTTTTAGAATTTTTATTTTTTTGCAATTTAAAAAACATTTTTGTTTATTTTGGGATAGAAAATGCAAAGGAACAGTTACCCTATTATTTTTAAAAATATTATTCAATATCCACTCTATGATGATTTGTTGCCAATTTGAACCATTATTTTTAACTTTCATTTCCATTTTTAATTTGTTTTTAAATAAAAGAAGAAAATTGCTTTTACTTGTTTAAAGCTAGTTTAAATTTCCACAATTGCTTTAGTTGTTACTGTGTATACTTTACATATATAGATAACAATCATAAAAACAGTGATAAAACTATAAGTTGACATCAAAAACTAAAATTTATATTTAGGCTACTATAAATTAAATTGCCTTGAATGTTGTCTGGCAATAAATTCTAAATTTTAAAATACTTTAAATGGTTCCTGTCACAGGGTGGAGTTGGCAGTGTTGTGATGAATTCTGGACAGAACTATGCATGGATCAACATAACAGTGATTGACAACTCACTGCCTGAAGCAGAGAAGAAGTTTGTGGTGGAGCTGCTGAACCCTAGTGGTGGAGCTGTCCTCAGCCAAGGCTCACAAAAAGTCACAGTGACAATCCAAGCATCAGATGGGGCATTTGGGGTCTTCCAGTTTGCTGATACTTCACTCAATGTGAAAGGAACAGAAGACGGAGATGATGGCTTTAATATTGTTTCATTACAGGTTAAAAAATGCCAATAATGCTAATTCAAACTTTTTAAAGTCCCCCGTCCTTTGCTCCTTGTGTCTTAAGCTCTAATGTCATTATATCCATATTTTAATTACTTCTGTTTAACTGGTTTCTATTTCCATTTTAATTTCTAAAAAATAGTTTAGGCCTAGATACTTTACAATAATATTTTGAATACAAACATTTTTTGAGAATTATCAATTTTCTTGCTAAGCACTTACATCTTTAGACATGCACTGACTCCATTGCTATAACATTTTAATATGAATCTCAACCAAAAACGATAAATGTATGCTTTTCATATCACATTTACATGTTCACCATGCTTTTTATTTTATTATTAGGTTAATAGACTTCTGGGTACAATAGGAACATCAAGAGTTGCCTGGGAAGTTGATGAAGACAAAACTGATGGGTTGGATATAATCAATCAATCAGGAAATCTGACATTTCTGCCAGGTCAGACCTCTCAGTCGCTTGACCTTCAAGTACGAGGGGACACAATCCCAGAGCTTGATGAGATAGTGCGTGTCAGGCTGGTCTTAGTTTATGGGGTAATTTTTTTTTAAAATTAAAAGTTCTATCTGTTTTGTGACTTGTCTTATATATGTGAACTTTGGTGAAAGAGATTCAACTGTTTTGAAATAAGTTTTGAGAGCTTAGTTTAATTGCCTACTCTGCTAAAATCTGCCCCTAAAAAGAATTAAGGTAGTAATAGGCTAATTAATATTATGTCTTTACTACCAAATAGATTCTACTGTTTGTGTGGTTAAAAAACACATCAGTTTATCATTTTTTACTATAACTATGACTTTATGAAGTTATTTTTTAAACACATTTTAGATGAAAATAAATTTATTATAGATATATGAGTATAACAAGGGAATATATCTACTCCTATAAACAAGTTATTTATTTTTATCTGTTTAAGAAATTTATTACTTTTTAACTTTGTCTTAGGGCTCACTAGGGGATCCACTTCGAATAAATGCTACAGTTACAATAGCTGCAAATGACGATCCATATGGCAGATTTATCATCACTCCAGCCTTCAGACCTGTTAGAGTCATGGAAATCGACCAAGGTTGTTCTAGAATATTCTCATAAAATTTTTTATTTTTATTTTATTCAAACTATATGAATAAAAAAAATAATCCAGATGGCCATTTCCTTGATAAAGTTCTAATTTTTAGCTTAATACATCTCATAGTATGTACTGAGGGTAAAATAATGATTATTTTGTAACAAATATTAAAGCTCATGTTTTCTACAGATGTGAACATTACAGTTCAGCGCCAGGCGGGAAAGTTTGGAACAGTTGAAGTGGACTTCGTGTCCCTGTCACCAACTGAAGTGTTCTCCTATCTACCAGTGGGGGTGGCAAGAGCTGATTTAAATGATTTTAATGCAACAAGAGGAACATTGATCTTTGGAGCCAATCAGGAGTTTGCACTGTTTAAGCTTCACATTTTGGATGACCAAATTCCTGAAGAGGATGAGAGCATCTTTGTGAGACTGACCACAGTGAGGCTCACACAAGCAGCCCAGTTGAACCCAGGTACAAACTTTCATTTGTTGGTGAACTGATGTAAAGATCACCCAGTCTAAACCATTGAGTAATGAGATAATGCAACTTATTATTTTATGTGAGTAGAGCTGGTGGGTGAAAGTTATCCTAATTTAAAAAAAAAATGTCTATCCATTATCAAAAGAAGGAGAAAATTGGTTATTGATCCTTAAAGAAATAACCCTCTTATGTAGAACTTTTTCATCTGTGAATTGACATTACTGTTTAGTTCTTTAATTATAAATTTTTAATTCTCAAAATAAGTTTCAGAAACTTACTATGGCAGATATATATATATATATATATATATATATATATATATATATATATATATATATATATATATATATATATATATATATATATATATATATATATATGTGTGTGTATAACTTTTATAAAAAAAAGAATTTCTTTTAGATAGTGATAGCTGAAGGTTAATTCTGTATTTCCCATAGATTTTACTCATTGCTTTCAGTGTTTACATTATTTTATAAAGACAAATATTTTTTTTTACAGTTCCATCTTCTCCCCGCCTGGGCCAAAACACAGACACATATGGGCAAATTATAATAATAGCCAATGATGATGCTAGTGGTCGTCTAGAGTTATCCCCCTCTAATATATCTGTAGCTGAGTCAGATCCAACCCCTGGTGTTTTTCTGACAAGAACTGGTGGATCCTTTGGTCAAGTGAGTATTTTTTGTGATTAGGTAATAAAATTTGAGCTGTTGAAAAATAGATAAGAAACAAATCAAGTTATATAATTTTTTTAAATGATTATATTAATTAATTTAATAGCTTTGTAAATGCTTAATAAATGCTGTAAAAAGTTAGACAATTTAATATTTACCTCTTGTTTATCTCTTTATAATCACTTGTTTCTTAAAGATTATTTATACATTAAAAAACTTGAAGTTTTACAATTTTTATTATAACCTTAAAATTTAGAATTTATTGCCAAATAAAAAATAAATAAATTACACGTTACTTTTGTCTAGATGAAATTTAAAAGTTTTAATGTTTCCAAATTTCAGGTAACTGTTCTTTTTAATGTTCCATTTCATTTCAGGTATCTGTTCCATTCCGTGTTATTGATGGCACTGCTGTGGTTAACATGGATTATGTTGTATTATCCAATGTGATTATACTGGCAGCAGGGGAGACAAGAAAACGAGTTCCTGTTGAAATTATTGATGACAGAGTACCAGAAATGGCTGAATATTTTACTATAGAACTAATAGACCAAGTGATGGGAGGAGCTGTGCTTGGAGCTAGGAGAACTTCTGTGATAACTATACAAGCATCTGATGATCCTAATGGAGTTTTTAGTAAGTCATGCTATTTCTTACTATGTCAGTGTTGTCTATTTATATGCTACTAAGTACTAACTTTATTTTCCATTTAAATTAATTTCATGTTCTATATCAGTGATTATAAAAAATGCAAGGTTTGTATTTTGTTGATTGTTTTTAAAGACCTACTTATTGTTAACAAATAATAATATAATTATACATTTTATACATTTATTACTTAATATTTTATATAAAAATTCCCTCAATTTAGCCTTTGTAGCTCAAGGTCAGACTGTTGATGAACTAGAAAAAGATTACAGTGTAAACATCACCATAGCTAGAACAGGGGGATCAATGGATGTGGTCACAGTCAACTGGGAGGCAACTCTAAATGGCATGCTTTTATTTTTACCTCTTTTATGGAATTTATATGTTAAAATATTAAGACAGTTATAGAGTAGGAAAGATACACATTTAAACATAAAACAAAAACATATAGTTGAAGGAACATTAAATTGTTGTGTTTAATACAATAATTCTAATGCCCTAGGTGTACCAGCATCTGATGACATATTTCCTGCCTCTGGCCAAGTATATTTTGTTACCAATGAAGCAAGCAGAAATATTAATATCACAATATTGGCTGATAACATTCCAGAAGGAACAGAGGTTTGTCCATATACTCTATTGTAGACTGTACAATTTTAGACATGCAAGCTGTGAAGATAAGGTGCTCCAATAAAAAACACTTTCTTTCCTTCAACTTTAAATATATTTTTTTTAAATTTCTTTTTTAAGAGCTAGTGATTATTATATTTTTGTTTAAGTGTGTTTTAATTTACGTAATTAGATTACAAAAATATTACTACCTATTCCAAACAGAATATTTTAGTTCGTCTAACAAATGCAACAAATGGAGGAAGAATAGGAGATCAGAATGTTTTCATATTGAGTATAGCACCAAATGACAGTCCTTATGGAACTGTACAGCTATCTTCTGCTGTTTTCTCAGTAGCAGAAGATCCAGCAGATGGGTCACAGACTGCTCAGGTTGTCAGAAGGTCAGAGGTTAAGCTCTAATTTTTTTTTAAGTTTATCCTTTACTGTCATATTATTATAATTAAAATTTAGTCAATATTTTTTTTTCACTTTGTTTAATAAAAATTTCATTAAATTATAATTTAATTGATTTAAAGAAATTATTTAACTAATATTTAATTTATGAATATTTATATATTTAGTGGAGGCGTCTACAGCAGTTTGAGAATCTTCTACTCCACAAGTGCCATGACACTGATAGACTTGATCAACATAAGGGGTGATAGTGTAATGACATTGTTCTTGGCTCCTGTCAGCAAGATCCCATTTCAGACAGGAACATTTGTCAATGTCACTCTCTTCAATGATACACTTAAGGCATGTTCATTTGTGTTCTTTTTGTTTAAATTTGTAACAAATCTTCTGTAGAGATGTTAAAGATTAACCAAAGCACGTACTTGGTTATAATGTCTTGTACAACTTTTCCACAGGCCTGTGCATCTGCTTGTGTTCTTGAAACTTCTTGCTTGAGTTTTCAGTATGGACAAACGCCAGATAAAATTATTTGTAATTGGTACGCCAATAAGTTTAGTAGTGAGTCATTTCAGCCCTCATCAAACTCCAGTTATTATGAAAAAGATGGAAATAAAGTAAGTTTGTTATGTTTATATTGGACTTCATACATGGATATAGGCCTAACATATTTTGTATTTATTAAGATCAGCAATAGTTCATTTTGAAAAAAAAAATGCTTGCATGATTTAATAATATTTTGTTTGTTTAGGTTTCTGAACTGTCGATGTATATAGCTAAGGCTGGTGATGATTTTACTGTTGTCAGTAGAGCATCTGTTATAATCGGAGATGGACAATCTTCTGTTTCCATCTTGCTTCCAATCATAAATGACAACATCCCTGAACTCGACGAGCAGTTTTACCTGAGACTGCTAGGTGTTGAGCTTGTCAATAGTTCTGGGGCTACTGATGCCCCATCACTGGGTCCACTACAGCAAGCCAGCATCATAATCGCAACTAATGACAAAGCTTTTGGGATGTTCAGTATTTACAGTGCATCCAACACTACAGCCAGAGTTATCCAAGTTTTGGAATCTAACCAGCTTGCAGTGGATTTGGTTGTTGAACGGCAGGGTATTCTTTTAATATTTACTCTGTTATCTAAACTACAAGCCCACTAATTTGTATGCAGGATATTCTTTCAATGTTTACTCGCTTATCTAAAATACAAGTAGCCTAGAATGAGGTATTTTGTCAGTTGATTTTGGCTAATCATACCAGAACACAATCTTTTGACATGATTAATTATTTAATTATGTGACAGCCCAGCTCTGATGGGTACCTAACACTTTAGGGAAAATAAAGGCGGCTGGGCAAAGTGCTGACCCACACCTTCCCTTCATATGATGAAGTTAAGGAACATATGAACTCTATTTCATCTGCCCAATATATTGCTAGGTCTAAAGAGGATTCTTTACTTTACTTTAATTATTTAATTAATAAACCTTGATTAAAAAATCAAAGCTAACGTGAATTAATGGTTATTTGTTTTAGCTTTAAATTTGATTATTTGAACAGGAGGAAGTATAGGATCTGTGTCTGTAGAGTGGAGTGTAAGTACAATCAACAGAACTGCAACTTATGGTCAAGATTACATTGCTGATGGAGCTACACTTTTATTTGGGGTGGCCCAGACTAGGCGAGGTACTGCTCATAACTTAAACAGTTATACATTTTTCTTTATGGTTAAAACCATGCTAAATGTCATAAAACTTATAATATTGGAAATTATGATAAACTGAAAACATTTGCTCATCCTCAGTTATCAGTATAACAATACTTGATGATAATATACCAGAGGACAATGAAGAGATGACAATAGTTTTAAGTAATCCTAAAGGGGGAGCAACCTTAGGTGACATGAATTCAGTTAGAGTTGTCATACTTGCCAATGATTATGTTGCGGGTGTATTGACATTTGAGAAGACTTCTGTTCTTACTAAAGAAGGCAAGTACTAATATAACATCTATTTATAGCTTGTTTTTTTTAACTGAGATATCTGTTTACATTTTGCTGTGTCTTGATACATTTTGTAAGATGATTGCAGGTACAATTAGTAGATCCTATTCTTCAATACACATTTTTAAATCTTTAAAATTTTTAAATTTTACTATCTTTTATTAAATCAGGAGAAAAATTTCAAATCAAAGTGAAGAGATCACTCCCTGCCTCTGGTACAGTATCAACTAACTGGAGTATTGAGGATAAAAATGGTCAGGTAGCATCACAGAGGTTTGCCCAGAGTAATGGAACTTTGGTATTTCTGCCAGTAAGTTTACTTAGGTTAGATACATTGATATTTCTGCCAGTAAGTTTACTTAGGTTAGATACATTGGTATTACTGCCAGTAAGTTTACTTAGGTTAGATACATTGGTATTTCTGCCAGTAAGTTTACTTAGGTTAGATACATTGGTATTTCTGCCTGTAAGTTTACTTAGGTTAGATACATTGGTATTTCTGCCAGTAAGTTTACTTAGATTTGATACATTGGTATTTCTGCCTGTAAGTTTACTTAGGTTAGATACATTGGTATTTCTGCCAGTAAGTTTACTTAGATTTGATACATTGGTATTTCTGCCTGTAAGTTTACTTAGGTTAGATACAGTATAAAGCTCTCATATAGTTGTGTTTAAATGCAATATTATTAAATATGTTTATTAAAAGTATGAAATGATTCTTTATATAATTCATTTTCAGATTATCTTGACTATATTACAATTATTTGTTTTAGCTTATTGCCCTCCTACATTAAATAGGCAATTACTGATTAAAATATAAATACTACTGTGTATTATTTCATTAGACGCAGACCGAGAGGGTATTAAATCTAAGTGTTCTTGTTGATAACATCCCTAAAGTAGATGAAGAATATCAGTTAAAGCTTCAGAATATCATCACACAAGGTAATGTGTATTCACATTATTTTTTCTCAAGTCATGGTTATCCACATGTTGAGTTATAGGGGTGTGTGGTGTGTACCAGGTGACCCCTTCCCCTACTGACTACCCAAAGAGAGATAAAAATATGTTAGAAAAATATAGACAACCCTGAGGACTGTACCTGTAAGCTTGACCACCCTTGAAAAAAAAAAATCAAGCTTGACCCACACCCAGAAAAAAATAATGCTGATGCATTTGCTCAACATCTTCACTCAGAGATTTTTTTTTTATTCATGTCATATAAGTCTAGCCTTGTCTCTCATCACTAAAAGGCACATCTTGAATTTTAAAAAATTACAAATGATGTATTTCAATATTACCTTTAGTTATAGGTCTATAATAGGTAGTCATAGTATGTATAACAGCTGTATACAACTGCATGCAGGTGTGCCACCTTCTGGCTGGGCAGCCATTGACCCTCAACTTGGGACAGTGTTGATGACCATAGCAGGCAGCAATGATCCTCATGGTGTCTTTCAGCTGGCTGCCTCCTCCCTAGAAGTCAGAGTACAGGAGAGTGCTGGGACTGCCAATATATTGGTGGACAGAAAGTTTGGGGCTATAGGTAATTTAGCTTGTGGTTTTGTAGTCTATATTAGAGTACAGGAGAATGCCAGGGATTTATAGGTAATTTAGCTTGTGTTTTGTATTCTTATTAGTAATATCAGTAAAAAGTAGTATTTAAAAAAAATCTTTATGAAACAAATAAATTCTAAATAACTTGAATTTACTAAGCTTCATAAAACTGCAGGTGTTGTCCGTGTCTCATATGAAGCTGTTCAAGGTTCACTTAAACCATACGGTACCCAGCGTAACCCAGCCAGTGTTGGTCAGGATTTTATTGGTGTCCAGCCAGGGTTCATTGACATTGGCAATGGGGAATCTTCAGGCACAATTAGCGTTACAATTATTGATGACAGCATTCCAGAAATTGATGAGGTAGTTTGCCTGTAAAATTATCATTCATGAACTTTTTTATTAAGTTTTAAATTGTGACATATGAAACATATTATTTGAAAATAAAACTGTGTGATCTATGTTGCAATTGAATAAAGAGATGTGGGCATCAAAGCATACAAAAATTCATTGTTTTATATATTTTAAACAATTTTAAATACTTTGTGAATAAATATTCAGAAATTCATTTTTAAAAATTTCAATTGATCAAACCCTTTATTTATATACTTACACTTACATGTACATATGGAAATAGATATTTATAAATTATTTCATTTATTTCTAATGCAAATGTTAATCCTTTGTCTGATAATATTCATTAAATTTTAATAGGTTTTTGTAGTAAGACTTCTAGGAGTGTCCTTAATATCTAGCACTAACACCACCCTTCCTCCAAGACTAGCCATCAATGGCACTGAAGCTGAAGTTATTATTGTAGCAAATGATGGGGCACAGGGAATCATGCAGTTTGCTACTGACTCTCAGAAGTAAGTTTAGAAATGTACCTTAGAACTGTTGAGCTTCTGCTGTTTGATCACTCAGGACAATGACTTGTGTATTGTTTATTTTAGTGTGGATGTAACAGAACAAGGCCAGACCATATCTCTGACTGTGCTTAGAGGAAATGGAACATTTGGTCAAGTCTCTGTCTTTGTCTACAGTCAGGCTGTGACTCAGTCAACTGTGCTTGGACAAGACTACAACATGACAGCTGGTGTAAGTGGTCAGATGCTAGACTAGATACCTGGTCAATCGGGAATGGTCAATTTGTTTTTTGTTGATCTTTCTTTTAAGTTTTGACTTGAAACTATTTGCTAGTGTATTCATAAATGTATTTATTTGTTAGTATATTCATACATGAATTAATTTGCAAGTATTCCTACATGTATTTATTTGTGAGTGTATTCATAAATGAATTTATTTGCAAGTATATTCCTAAATTAATTTATTTTTTAGTGTATTCATAAAGCTTTAGGGCCACTAAAATGTTTTATCTTCTCCACATATAACCAATAACATCAGCTTAAAATAAACTTGTACAGGAGCTTGTGTTCCAAGAAGGCGAGTCTCGTAAAGTCATAAATGTGACAATTTTAGATGACAACGAACCAGAACCAGATGAAACATTTCAAGTTATTTTGGCTAATCCCAGCAATGGAGCTCTTCTAGGTCAAGCTGTGAGAGGTATATATATCTTATACACATTTAGATTCTCTCATTTATTTGTTGTTTCTAGCTGTATTCCTAATAATTATTTTAATCAGTAATTTATGAGTGCTCAGTATGTGTAAATTTTGTCTACTTAAGGATTGCTGTAAATAAATTCTTTTCTGCTTTTGATTTTAAACTTTTAAGTATAATAACCATTTGTTATTATTTTTCAGCTTCAGTTAAAATTTTAGCAAATGATATACCTGGTGGTTATGTTTCTTTTGATACACCTGATGCTGTGGGACTTAGAGAACCAACACCTGATGATTCATCCTACTCTAAGGTAATTTTTGTCTTGATAACTCTTTTACTCGTTTAGGAGTATTATTAATTTAATTTAATTTTAAAATATGGTAATGTAGTTTATTATGACTGATATTTCATACATTTTGCTTTAAATTATAGAGTAACTTACTAAATATAGACCTACATACCCCTTGTCTAAATAACTATAATGTATTTAAAAAATAACTTTATCTAATTACTAACAACTTAAAATAATGGTTTGTAGGTTGATGTCATCATTAGAAGAGGACCTGGGACCTATGGAACAGTTACTGTACCATATACTATTCTCACTCCATCAGGAAATTTAACTAATGACATTTTACGCCCTAGCGGAACAGTTACTTTCTCTGACAGACAGGTAATTTAAATTTTCTATAACTTTATTGCTTCTGCCAAACAATTTGATTTGATTGGATTTCAAGTCCTTTACAAATCTTCAGAAATGAAATAAACAATGTAAAACCATAATTTTACTGGGCCATATTCACAATTATTTTAACCAATATCCTTTACACCAATTAAACTGTCTTCATTCACTCAGGTAACCAATCTGCAAATCGTCTTAAGTGTTGGAATTTTTTAAATTTAGTATTTATTCCTTTTCAACACAGGACAAAGCATTTTTAGTTTTAGAAGTTGTGGATGATGATGAACCAGAGGATGCAGAAGTGTTTACACTTTCCTTACAAGCGCCATCTGGTGGAGCTATCTTAGGGAACACAACTGTGAAGACAATAAATATTGATGCCAGTGATTCTCCTGCAGGATATTTACAAATCTACTTTACTAACAATAGGTAATATTTTTTTTTTGCTATTGTACTACAACCGCTAAATCTTCACAAAAAATACCTTGTTCTTATTTCATTGTAAAAATGCTAAGATAAGATTCTGTTTCAGTTCTATTTTAATATGGCTTTTTAGACTTATTATTCTGATAAATTTAACTGGAAACATCATTTGTTAAGTTGTTTTTTCCCCCATGGTTTTCTAACAATAAATTTTTAAGTTTCTCACTAAAAGCAATGAATAATAATTGAACAATGTAAACTTTGTATTAAATGTGAATAAAGTAATGACAATATTGTTTATTAAGATTATCTATTTTTCAGTGGTTCTGTCATATCAGTTGATGAAGCCTTCGTTACTGTGGAGATTGATGTCATTCGAAGTAAAGGTACCAAGGGGAAGGTAACTGTGGATGTCATGACAGTCCCAGGCACAGCAACGAGTTTCCTAAACATGTCAAGAGTGGTGCTGGCTCCGATGTGTGAAGTAAATGCTGCCCTTGTGTCAGCTTGGCATCAGGTGAACATAGGTGATGCTGTGTACCTGGTCTTGCTGACGTCACTATCTCAGGATACGCAGCTGAGTTCTATGCTTTTACCTGGATCATCAGTTGGTAGCGGCCAGTCTGTCCTTTACAAATGGCAGGGACAGGCTACATACATGTCTGTAAGTAACGGCTTCAGATTTTTTGTTTAGGACAAAAATGAACCTTTCAAAATTAAAAAAAACTCTACTTTTTATAATTCTTAAGAAAATAAACTAATATCTAGATCTGCACTGAGTAGACATTGATAATAATAAGGGCACAAATAACACACTTAGTTTTATCATCAATAGACTTTTGCAACAAATGGAGCAACAGCTGCAACATCCTTTACAATCTCCAACATCACCTACCTGGTCGTGGCAAACAGTGGGAGGGAAGGTGCTAGGCAGGTGCCCTCAACAGTTTACAGAATTTCACAACAGGGCTTGATGGAAGTTGTGAGTTCTCTTTCTTCTTCCTTAGTTTTTTTTTTTCCCTGCTTAATGTTTGCTTAAACTTATTACTGAAATTTTAAAGCCATTTGATTCATGAATATAGTGAAATATTTATCTATTTATTTATTATATCTAAGGCCATATATAATGACTATTATATTGCACGTATAACAATTTCCTATCAATTAAAAGTATTTATTTTTTATCAATTCAAACAAAGGTCCAAACTCTGACTACAAGTGGTGCCAGTAGTGTGAGATATTTCATGCGAGATTCTCGCCACTTCCTGTTTGTAACAAACTCTTTGGATGACACATCTAAATCAGATATCAACAGCTATGTCTTTGAATGGGATTCCAGCCTCCAGCTTTTTACCTCCACACCAAAACAGCTGATCAGCACCTTGTTTGCACGCGCCAGTATCACCTTCAACATTAGTGGTCAGATATTTGTTGCAGTGGCCAATTATTATGACAGGACTATTGGATCCTATGAAATAAAGTAAATTCATTTTTTTTAATTAATAATTCAACTGTATTGCTTTAAATTTTATCTTTCCTCATTCCTTTGAAGCCACTAAGGAGCAAAGGGCTGCAGCTACACATCTCAACTGGACTCTGTTTTGGGCAGCTCTCTTTAGTTGAGTCCAAAAAATCCCACCAGCCCCTGCTTCTCTTTCCACCGTCCTTAAGGATTGCTTATGTTTGCCTACTTTCCTTTTCCCCTGAGTTTTCCAGTCTACTACTTTCCTCACTGTGTCGTCCTTTTCTTCTAGGGTATGCCTGGTCCATCCCCATTTCCAGGCTTTATAGTGTAGAGGTTTTCCTGTAATTGTGACTCTATTTCAGCTCTGTGATTTATCGCCTGGAGTCAGACTTCTCATTAGTTGAGCATCAGCGGCTGGCAACACAGGGCGCCATCAGCATGACTTACACAGAGATTGGAACCCTGCGCTTGCTGGTTGTGGCAAACAACAGGCAGAATGCTATTTCTACACCACAAAACTCTATTGTTTACAGGTATGTATGGTTCCCAGAAAAAAGTGATCTAAGTAATGCGGTATAGTGATGTAGTTGTAAATACTTACTAATGCAAAGATAACTTATTTTTAGATGGGATCCATTGGTACAAGCTTTTGTACTACATCAGACTTTACCAACTTCTAGAGCCCTAAGGGTCACTTCTATCAACACAAACAGTAGTTCAGGTAAACAACATTTCTTTTGTGCTATTAATTTAAAAAAAAAATTAGATATGAAAAAAACTTGCTGAAATGTGTATTTATCCTATGCTTTATCTGGCCACTAAACTCCTTAATTAATAAGGCATGTATCAACATTGTAACAGTAATTTTTTTTAATATATTAACTGCAAGAAATAACAAAATTTTCTTTACTACACAGTGTTTCTGATTTTTGCCTGTGAAGTTGGAAAATCTGAAATCTTTGTTTGGGATGTTCAAAGCAATTCGTTCAAGTCTGCTTGGACAGGAAGTCCGTATTTATCACTCCAACCAATCATAATAAGGCAACCGTCTGGTTACTTACTGATGCTTGCATCTGCAGATGTCAATAGACTAAACAAACCAGTGCTTTTCCAAGTTGCTCAGATCGCAGACAACAGTGATTTTGTATCTAGGTAAACACTCAAACAATTTTAATCATCACAATAAAGGATTTCTAAATATGATTTTTGTAAAAATGTAAGGTGCCAATGTAGCATACTTGTAAATATTTTACAATTTAGAGTTCAAGATTGTGGAAGGGATATTAGCAAATTAACTTTAGGCAATCCTACAAGTATACTACATTTTTTTATCATCTTTAACGAAATTTATAAACAAAACATCATTTACTTTAATGAACAGGCAAGTAACAATGACCTTTGAGGCTGGTCAAACATCTTTGAGAACATCAGTAGTCATCTTGTCAGATGATTTACCAGAAGATGAAGAAAGCTTTCAAGCTGTACTCACCTCTCCAACAGGTGGCGCTGATATAGGTTATAACAGCAGTGTTAGGGTGGTGATTCTTTCTAATGATGATGCTTATGGAATCATTGAGTTTTCACAGGTATGTTCAAATACGGATGAATAAGTTCAACAACATATACACCTTAGTGAATCTACTCTTCTTATGAAATATTATTTTGTGGTTTTGCTTAAGAAGTGTTTGTGTAGTAATCAGTATTACTCCCACACTTTGTGCAATAACATGTACCTTTTTTAAAAAAATAATTATTTCTGTATCAGTACAGTAATACAATTATTTACTTTTTTGTTAAACTGTGTAATCACCCTTGTTGTAACTAAAGCAAATTGTGACCTCAATTTTGTTTAAAAGGATTCATTAGCAATATCTGCAGAAGAGCGCAATGGTATGGACACACCAGTAAATCTGAATGTTGTAAGGAAGAAAGGATTTTCTGGCCACGTTTCAGTTCAATGGCAAGCTACAGGGGACCAAAGTAGCATTGGAGACATTAGACCTTTAGCAGGATTGGTAAATTTTATCTTTTACTGAATTACTCATACAATGTTAATGAACTAGTTTTTAAACAATAAAAAAATCAAAGGATAAAATTTGATATTTGGATACATTGACAAAAAATATTTTTAAAATAATGCACCAATTAAATAGTTTTTTTTTCCAAATTTACTATAGATATATTGTAAATTATTATCAAATATTAAATATAAATAATACAGTATATTTGTTCATTCTTGTCTTATATTAAATATAAATAATATAGTATTATTGTACATTTTTTAAAGGTTTTATGACTATCTATCGTGGCATGTAGTTTATTTAACAGCAATATCTTTGCTAGGTTGAATTTGCAAGTGGACAGTCCATAGCAACCATTACATTAACAGTACTGGATGATAAGGAACCTGAATTAGCAGAAGTGACCTACATACGACTTACACAAATAATAGATGCTGGAACAACTGACATAACTAAGGGAGCTAAACTAGGTCTGTACCACTGAATTTGATTTATTGAATTATCAGAAAAAAGCAACAATATCAACAGATTACATTACATTTTTAATAGTGCTGTAATACTTTTTTTTAACATTGTTAAGTAAAAATATTTTTTGGATTGTTTTTCACATTTTACAAAGAAGTTAACTGTTTCTATTGTTCTTACTTGACAAGGTGACAGCACAGTTGCAGTCCTTACTGTCCTGGCTAATGATTCCCCTTTTGGTGTGGTGTCATGGGAGAAGACTCTAGTCAGTGTCAGTGAACCAGATAAAACAGATCAGCCAATTGAACTTGGAGTGGTGAGGGAGCAAGGCTTGGAGCAGGCTCTCAGGGTTTATTATGTGTTAGTTAAATATTTCTTTACAGCATCACTTTAAAACATTTACTTACAATCTAAAAGTGAGATTAAATGTATACATTTTTGAGTCTAGCAATTAAAAAGCTTTTTTTTTGTATTGATCAAAATGAATAACTAGATAGGTACATTTACAGGTTAACATTGGCTTACAGTAATTGAAGTTAATGTGAACATTTATTTTTTCATCCAGAACATCAGCGGCTGCTCAGCTACCAGTGTATCAGCAAGCCACACCTGGTGAAGATTTTGTTACAACTCAGGGTTTTGTGAGGATGGCTGAGGGTGTGTCCAGAGCTGTGGTTGTTGTTGTGATCAAACAGGTATGGTTGGTTGTTGTTGTTGTTGTAATCAAACAGGTACAGTTGTTGGGTTGTTTTTGTTGTTGTAATCAAACAGGTATGATTGGTTTGTTGTTGTTGTAATCAAACAGGTACAGTTGTTTGGTTGTTGTTTTTCCCTTCAAATGTTTATTTTTGTTTTTGTATTTTGCTTTTTTACTGCTGTACATTGCATTTTTTTTACAATTTATTTAGTGAATTTTAATTTGTTTATAAATAAATACTGCAGTGCAGTATTATTATATGTGGATTATACACCTATTCACAGTTATTGTAAATATTTAAAAAATATTTTACTTCAAGCTTTCACATTATTGAAACATTTTTCTAAAATACATAATTAAATGTAATGTTTTTAAAAATCAAATCTGCTTGCACATAAATAAAAAAAAAATGTTTTTATTGAATTCTCTGACAGGATGACATCCCTGAGGCAGCTGAAAGCTTCCTGGTCAACCTGACATCAGTTTCTCTAGAGAATAACAACCAGGGTCAAGTTACTGGCCCCAGCATTGCTATTGGTAAAGGTGTAGTCCAGGTCACTATTGCTGAGAATGATAATGCACAAGGTATCATTGAAATGGATGTGAAGACAGTAAGCTCTAATTTATTTTCTTTAAATAATATACTTGGTAGATATAAAGACCACTGACTCGAAATAAAGATTTGCTCTCCACTTTCAGTGGGAAATGTACATGTCAAACATTGTAAAAATTTAGACCAAAATCAGCCAAAAATTTCATGATGTTTTTTTCTGTTAAATAGAATGTAGAAGGTCGAATGGATGTTTATGAGGAATATGGGAGGAATGTAACCATTGAGCTGCCCTTAAAACGCAGCATTGGGTTCTTTGGCTCACTGACTGTAACTTGGCAAGCGGAACCTATTGAGGCAGATTTAAAAGATTTTACACCTGCAAGCGGCACTGTCCAGTTTAATGACCTACAAAGAAATGCCAGTATATTTATCACAATTCTTGATGACACTATACCAGAAAACATGGAGGTTTGTTGAACATTTGTTTTGACAGATTTTGATTTTTTTTACTTGTTAAGTTTAGTATTTTAAGATAAAAAACTTCACACTTGAATAGAGTTTCACAATTACTTTTGCAGACTTTTGATGTAAGATTAATTAGTGTTACTGGGGATGCAGGCATAGGGGCATCACGACGTGTCAGGGTAGCCATTTTGAAAAATGATTCCCCAACTGGCCTCTTTAGATTTGCAGTGAAACAAGTACGTTTTTTATTAATATATTAATCAGCTTTATCACACAGTGAAAAAGTATGTTGCTACTCTCTTAACATATTGTAAACTGTAATTTCTCTTACTAGGTTGAGACTCGTGAAGCTAAGAACACAACAGATAAAGATGGGCAAGCAACTCTGATTGTACAGAGAATACAAGGCAGCCAAGGCTATGTCAATGTCCAGTGGAGACTTAATGCTGAAGCTGCATCAGACTTCATGCCTCCATTAGAAAATACAATACTCTTTGCTCCGGTAAATCTTGTTTAACTACTTTTATTTCCTAAATTGCATTTGTGTAAAAATAACCATGTTTAATATACTTTGTTTTATATTGCTGTACACATTTTTACTTTGTGAGAATACTTTCTGTATGTTTTATAAAGTGTAATTTAGAAAACCAGATTTAACATTTACTTTTAACCACATATTTAGCTAATCTTGTTTTCTTTTGTTTATTCTCTATGCTTATATTTAGGGTGAAACAGAGAAACAAATAATTTTGCAAACAAAACCAGACTCAGTTCTAGAAGGAAGAGAGGAGTTTGTGGTTTCCTTAGTTGCTGCAGATAACAATGCTGACATTTCTAACAGAGGTTTCTGGTTTCTTCTTTTTCTTCCGACAACATTGGAATATTATATATTTTATTTTATTAATGTGAAATATATTGTACTTCATTTTAGAATAATAACGATTTTATACTGTAGAAATATATAATTGGTGTTTATTCCTTATTCAGCATTAATAAACATGTACATTCAAATTTCTGCTTTTTTGTTTAGGTTGGCATAACTCACACAGCAAATTATTAATTTAAATTGATCAAAGTTATGACAAAAGTGTAACCACGTTTAATGTCTATCAACAGATGGAGATTGTAAGGTCATTATCCTCCCTGATCCTGGAGCTAGTGGGTTTATTGTGGTTCTGCCAGAATATCGTTCTTTGATGGTAGGAGAGCCCGGGGAGTCTAGTCCCAGCTATTCTGGAGGGGCGGAGATTAAGTTAACCAGAGGACCTGGAATTTTTGGGGAAGTTGTTGTAACCTGGTCCATAACACCTAGGGATTCCTCTGCATTTTTACAAATTGAAGGAAGTGTTACCTTCACTGACCTACAACAAGTAGCATCTATTGTGATACAGGTAGGGTCTTTACAGGCAAGGTAGATGAACACAGATTTTTTTCAAATTAGAGTTGAAGTTTAAAATGTAAAAACAAAAAACAACTAATATATTTTTACCTTAAGGTCTTTACCAGAAAAAAAAATAACAATTTAAATAAGAAGGGATTCATTATGTATATGTTTGTTCATCATGAATTATTTTAAATCTCTTCTTGAAATAGACAAGAGATGATAGTGTTCCAGAATTGCGTCAGATGTTTACCCTTCAAATAACATCAGCAACAGGTGGAGCTGTTATATCCAGTGTTCCAGGGGAGTTCACTGCCAGCATTTTATTTGCAGCTAGTGATTATCCTCATGGTCTCATTCAGTTTGCTCTACCAGAAGTCACTGTGGTCACTGAAGACCAAGGAACTGTGAGTTTTTAAAAATGTTTTCTGCTGAAAAGTCTTTTTATACACTGACAAGTCTGTATAATGCTTTTTTAAAAATTTCAAAATTAATGAATGGGCCCAATACCTAATATAACTATATTATAAAGAATTCTATACACTATCTTGCAAGATAATTTTTAAATACTTATTTCTACCAAATGTTTTACTATTTTTTTTAAATTTTTATTGTAGGTTTATGTAACAGTTCAAAGAACAAAAGGTTTGATAGGCCAGCTTCAGGTGGCATACAGCACATCATCAGGCAGTGCGTTATCTAATGTGGACTTCTTACCCGCTGCGGGAGTACTCACATTCCAGAATGGGATAGACACTCAAACCATCAGCATTAATATTATACCTGATGATGTGCCAGAAGGGCCTGAAGATTTCTATGTCAACCTGACCTCTGTTCAGCTGCTTGGTGACAGGTGAACCAAAGTTTTATTTATCAATAGCAGACAGGGGCCTAAGTAGCATAACAGTTTTCTTTATCAGTAACAGACAGGGGCCTAAGTAGCGTAACAGTTTTCTTTATCAATAGCAGATAGGGGCCTAAGTAGCGTAATAGTTTTCTTTATCGGTAACAGTGTTATGTAACATCTCTGAGATTTGTCAATTAAAAATAAAAAAGGGTCTTATAACTAAGTGATTATGGGACGGAGTGGTCTAGCGGTAGAGAGCTGGACTGATAACCCGTAAGTCTCGAGTTCAAATCCGGGTTCAAGTCAGTATACCGTCCCTGAGTCCACCCAACTCAGATGGGTACCTAACTCACGTTAGGGAAAGTAAAGGCGGCTGGGCATAGTGCTGACCACACTATCTCTTCATATGCCGAGGTCATATGCTCCATAGACCGTCAGGTTTGAAAGGGAAACTTTAATTTACTACTAACTAAGTGATTGTTTTTGTCTCTGTTTCAATTTGTAGCAACAACTACACTCTGGTGAATGGCCTAAGTCCAGACATGAGGCCAGGTCTTGGTACTTTGACCAGAAAAATTGTAAGAATAGATAAAAATGATAACGCGGAAGGAATTATACAGTTTGACAAAGATACATACTCTGGTTAGTTTTTAATTTGTTTCAACTACAAGTCTGTTTGAAATTTTATTTCCACTTTAAATCTTTCAAATTTTAAGCCTTAATTAAATTTTAATAAAATTATTTTAATGTGTACTGTTTGTTTAATAAATAGGCTACAGATCATATTTAAACAAACAGGATTTCTACTTTTCTAAAAATAAATTGCTGTGCCAGAAATTTGATAAACATAACATGGCTTTTCTTACTTTTCATTACTAAAATTATTGTAATCATTTTAAAAAATAACTAAATTCGTTCATACTGATGTAAAAATATTTCAGTAAAAGAAGAAAGTCAAATGGCCACACTACTAGTAACAAGGACAAGAGGTGATTATGGAGAAGTTAGGTTCAAGTATGAGACGCGCCCAGGTACAGCAGCAGAGAATGTTGACTACATGGCCTCCAGTGGAGAAATCGTCTTAAGTAACGGTGTACGAAATATCACTATAAATATCACCATTATTGACGATGCTCTAATGGAACCTAGCGAGACATTCACAGTGCTGTTAACTAGTGTGTCCGGTAAGAAAGTTTGAAAATCTCCCCAAAATATTTTTTAAATTAGTACTAATTGGTCACACAAACTATTAATTAATTATGTTTATCATGATATAAATTATCAGACCATTTAGGACAAAAATTAAATTAAGTGTTTTGTAAAAAAATGTTTTTGTCTCAATATATTGAACCAGGTGGAGCCATGTTAGGCATACCCATCATATCAACAGTCACCATCCTCAAGTCTGATTACCCTAATGGCAAATTTAGTTTTGTGGGTCCTGCTATGATTAATTTACCAAATCCTGAAGTAACTGTCAGACAGTTGCTAACTGTTGAAAGAACAGGAGGGTTACAAGGTCAACAACAGGTTTGATAGTTTTATATCAAATATTCTCATTTTGTTTCAACTATTTTTACTACAGCCTTTAACACACTTTAAAATAATTCTTTAGTAAAAGGCTAACTGGTGGTAAATATAATTATTTTCTTAATTTAAAAAATAATACAACTGGATCCATTTGCTAATATATAAATAATACTCTATGAATGCATCTGTGTTCCATTAATTCTATTTTGGTGTAAAAATATAATTATAGGGAATTTCAGCAACAAACTGTTTTATTACATTTTAAAACTTGGTGCTGAATAAGAAAGCTGACTGCTAAATCCTGTTGTACTAAATGTTTAAGTGAGGTTTGTTTAATTTTTACATTTTTCACCAGGTGTTCTGGCGGATAATGGGACCAAATAACCCCTTACAGCAACTGGTTGAGACAAGTGATATCAGTAGTCTAATTAATGGTCAAGAGGTCACTTTGTCTTCTTTAGTATGGTCTGATAGTGAATCTGGTAAAAAAACAATTACCTTGGACATAAAGCCTTACACATCATGGGAAATAGAGAAATCATTTGTTGTTGAATTGTATCGAGTCTCTGCTTCACCTGCTTCTGCGGGAGATGGGGAAATTGATGACACTCAGGGGAAAATCACTGTCAAGGTGAACAATATATAAAGTATAATTTCTATCTAAAAATAAATTTAAACAGCTACACTAAGATCTAAGGCATTAATAAGTTTACTTTTGACTAATAAATTCTGTGCAAAATATTTCTTATATATCCTTATCTTTTAATTCCAGATGCTAGTGATTGTATCTTGTTAAAAACTTATTTGATCAAAATTTCAGATTGAAAGATTTGGAGATCCTAGTGGTGTCATCATATTTTCTGGTGTTGCCACAACAGAGAGGCAAGTTCTAGAACCTGAGGGAAGCTCGCCAGATCCCTTGGTGTTTCCAGTGTCCAGAAAATCTGGCACTGGTGTCACAGGCAACATTAAGGTAATTTGTTCAATTGCAAGTTTAAAACCTGTTTTTTTTAATGTGAGCTGGACATTTTCCCTCTGTCAATTACCCTAATTAACTGATCATACCCTTAGGTTAATTACCCCTGTCAATACCCCCACTACACTTTACTCTTACATTTATTACTATTGACCTTCCCCATCACTATTAAGTACTGTCTATTTGTTAGTTGGCTGTGCAGGCCACAGGGTACATATATATAATGTTAATATTGGTATAGTATTGTTTACATAGAGGTGTTTCTTTACTGAAAAATGAAGGGATCTATTTTTTTTTAATATAGGCCAAAAAGGCCAGTTCAACTTTTGAAATTACCAAAGTGATCCTTGTTTCATTATAATGTGGTTCTGTCAATGTCAAGATAGGCTACTTGGAAGAATTTAAAAGTGGTTTCTTTTTTTCTGGTCTTGCCACAATCTGGCATGTTTTTTTTTTGTATTATCAGGTACTAAATTGAACTATATTTATATATTGATTTACTCGGTCCTTTGTTTATATTGAATTGTAATGCTCTTTGTGTGTTCGCAAATTAATAGTTATTTTAAAAGATCAAATTACTACCATAACAGATGCTTTTTTACTTTTGCAGATATACTGGGAAGTACGAGGAATTAGTACAGGCAGCTTAGACGTGAGCCCAGTTGAAGGATCTTTAATCTTAGAAGATGGAAAAAGAGATGGAGAAATAATCCTGCAAATATTACCAGATGATATACCAGAGCTGACGCATGTTTTAACTCTAGTTTTACTTAGAGTTGAAGGAGGAGCTCAAATTGACGCTCAGCTCAATCAGTCAACATTTAGGATCAGGTAAGATGCGTCTATATTTTAAAAATTATAGATAGCTGGCTTTTAATATTATGAAATAATAAATAAATGATTAATGTTTTCATAAATTATCCTGTCATGTGTTGTTACGCATTTAATTAAACACAGTGTATATTGTTTTAATTTTTTTAAATGATGTTGAAAAAGTAAAATGTCTAAAAAAGTTTTTAAAAAAATGTTGACAGGTATAATGATGACCCACATGGTGACTTTGGACTGGTGCCACAGTCTCAAAATGTACAGGTGAATGCAGCAGATCTCAGTAGATTTGTCAGCCTCAACTTCACTAGGTTTCAAGGAGCATTTGGATCTGTTTTAGTTACCTACACCATTGTTTATGATCTTGTAAGTATCATATCAAAACAATTGAAAATATAAAAAAATACAATTTAAAAAAATTAACTGTTCTATAACATTAACTATGAGATAGTGTTGTCAAATAATAAAGCATTTAACTACTAGCCAGAAGGTCTCGAGTTCAAATCTCTGTTTGGACACCCAGCTCTAATTGGTACCTGACTTTTGTTGTGAAAACTATTTGTGGCTGAGCACAGTGCTGAACACGCTATTTCTTCATTAACTGAGAAACATGTAAACTCTACTTCATCTGCCCAATGAATAATTTGGTCTAAAGAGGAATCTTTATTTTTTTTATTTATCACACAAAAACTATGTATTATGTGATATTTTGGTATAAGATTACAATAATTTTAAAACTCCTATAAGAGTTGTCTATAGCTGAATATGATTGATGCTGCCATGATGAATATTTTTATTTTGGGAAAACCAGGAGAATGAAAGATGTTTTAGTATCTGTTAATAACAAAAATGTTTGACTGAAGAAAATTTGTTTGTCTAACTTAAGTCACACATAAAGATGATTTGAACAGTTGTTTAATTTTTACTAATGCTAAAAGCACAATATTTAACTTTAATATTCCCTTTTTCATATTTTCTTGGTAGGTTAAGATGTGTATTTCAAAATTTCTTACTGGCAGCTTCACTTTATTTTTTTTCTAGCCAAGCTCTGATGTTGGGTTGAATTTCAATACTGGCACTGTCACATTTAATGATGGTTCCCATGAGGTCATTACTCAAGTCAATATTGTGGGGAGAGGATTTCTCCAGATGAATTCAGTTTTTAAAGTCACTATTACAGATGTTCAATTTTTAGGCACTGGAAGTAAATAACAAATTTTAGTTATTTTTGTTATATTTATCATCTTAATTACACTTTTAGCATACAACTATTTAAACTGTTCTATAGTTCATTTTAAATTCTTTAATTGATATTTTTTATTTCATGATTTTTTAAAATTCACTCTTTAACATAGCTTTAAATGTTAAATTCCACAGTGACGGAAGCACCTAAAATTTTAAAAGAACTTTCAACAGCTCAAATTCAGGTTCCTGCACTGGCTGCTAATACTGAAATCAGTTTCACCAGCAATATAGCCTTTGTTAATGAAGGTAATAATATATACAATATGTTGATAAAGGTAAGATAATGTAGAATCTTTTAATAAAGAAAAGATTGTAACATTTATTATTGAAGGTAAAACTGAGAAGAATTGTTTTATAAAAATAAAAATGTGTTGAATTTGTTTTATTAAGGATGTTAATATTGTATAGATTGTATTGATGAAGGTGGGATTAAAGTTCAACTGATAAAAATTGAATGAATATACTTTGCTTTAAAGTTTTTCTTGAAATAAGCTTTACGTGCATGCTGGAAAATACGTTCAGTAATTGCTTAGTGTTGGTTGTTATTTTATTTACTAAGTATGCCTAATCAACTAATAAAGTATATACTTGCTAGATTATTTTTTTTAACTTTTACAACCTCCTCAAATATCCAGAATATGCAGGGCCATGTCTACTATAACATTGACCTAATGTCCATGAACTTTGTCTCCACCACCAGCTGATGCTACACTTACAGTGACTCTATTCCGTGCTGGTACTTATGGCACTATTGTTGCTGACTGGGTGAGTGGCTACTCTGCTGCTGATCTACCATCCAATGTGACCAATGGGGAAACAAGCCCCACTATGGGAAGTGTCACCATGCTACATGGCCAGGAACAAGCTAATATTACTGTGCAGGTTGGACAGAGTTTTTAAATGTTGGAGTTAAATTTTACACACTTTTTAACTGTACTTTGTTAATTTTGTTTTAAAAGAATCAATTTTACTTTTAGACTTTTTGTTCTAATACATACCTGCTTTAATTATAATTACTCTTTCAAATATTATATAGTAATACAGATATAATAATTCTAATTCTAATGTACTTTTTCAATAAAGTTATAGACCAACTAATAAAATAATTCTCATATATTTTGTATTATAGTGATATTTATAAAGTGATTATGGTGTATTTTTAAAAATAGTCATGCTTATTAAATAATTGTGGTGAATTCCCAAGGTGTTACCCAAGATAACGAGAACAGAAGCCTTTGTTCTGAGACTTCCCAGATCACCACAGACACTGGTTAGCGGTGGTGCCCGTTTGGCTAAATCTAACATCATAGTAGTTGCAGATCCATCGGGTGTTGTCAGATTCTCCGAAGACTCTCTCACAGCTCAGGTCTCTGAGCTAGAGGGACAGGTAGGTGGCACAGCTTTATATCTTGGCTTTGTTTATACTCATATCATTTACATATTTTTTTGGATTTCTACTTATTTCTATAAAACAAAGTAAAATTGTGTAGTAATTCCGCGTTGACTAATAATGTTGCAGGTAACTTTAACACTGTGGCGCTACTATGGATCAGAGAGCCCCCTACTGGTGCACTATCAGACAGTAGCAGACAGCGCCCAGGCTGGGCTTGACTTCCAGTCTGTCCAAGCTGGCTATGTTGTCATGGAAGCTCAGAAAACAGTGACATCATTCACCATTCAGGTTAGTTCACATCTGCTTTACTCTGAGATTCTACATATTTTAAAAATGTTCCTGATTGATAGCTTTTAAATGTACGCATATTTCTTATCTAAAATATGATATGGCTATAACTTTGAGCTTCTTTTTCAGATCTACCAAGACAATATACCTGAAGTGACAGAATATTTTTATGTCAATCTCACAAGTGTGGAAAAGTTCCCTACACCCCTTCAACCTGGTACTGTCTTTACATCCACAACATAGTTTTCATTTATCTCGTAGCATTTTATTCATATTATTAGAATTTTAAGTAATTATTAAATGTGCATTTTAGAATTTTAAAAAATTTCAAACACTATTTAAAATTTTTTTTTTACTATGCTGTCTCATTTGGTGCTACTTTGCTAATCCATGTATGAATATTATATTTTCTATATTTCTCACAGCACAAAGTCCAAGATTATCTCAACTTAAATCTCTGGCTAAAGTAGCCATACAAGAAAGCAATGACCCATATGGTGTTTTGTGGCTGAGACCAAATGTAGTCAACATCAGTGAATCCTTTATAAATGTAACATTCTCTGTTGTTAGGACAGGTGAGGGCTTGGGTATTTTGTCTAATATTTATTACAAATTATTCTTTTGTCTCTCAATCCCAATGGAAATAGGCATGCTAAGAGTTTTGTCAGCTTACTTTTATTCAGTCTCCATATGGCAATTATTTATATTAAGTTCAGGAAATTTTAACTCTCAGAGGAGTTACATTATCTTTAATATTTTAACATTTAGGTAGGCCTATTTAGTCTATGAAACGATGGTCTATTTAAGCTATTTCAATCTTGAATTTGTGTATTTATATTTCTCTAGCAATAGTTTCTGATCAATAGAAAATATTTATTTGTTTGTTTGGGCCTAGTTGCAAATTATTTTGTTTTAGGGGGATTGTTTGGAACAGTGAGTGTGACAGTTCGAACAGTTGGGGGTGGTGAAGCCTGGACCTCCCAGATTTCTGCCAACCCCAGCAGCCTGACCAATGATACAATAGCAGATATCATAGGCAAGAGAAGCAGCCAAAATATAGCCACAGCAGGGCTAGACTATGATGTGCTCAACACTGCTATTGTCTTTCAGGTTGGCTTTTCTTGTTTCTTTATGACTAAATAGATTCAATTGATATTTTAAACAAGAATGGAAATAGACTGTATGAAAGTAAAATCCAATAGACTAAATACATTTTAGGGCCTATGAAATAAAATAATAATAATCATCGTTTTTTAAAAAGTAATACTCTAGCAACATATTCCTCTATATGCAACAATGTATACGTACAAAACCAAACCAAATATAAATATATGTTATAATTTTAAATATGGTTAGTGTGCTTTATTTATAAACTTAATACTCTTCAGACTTTAAGAAACCTGTAATAGATGTGAAGAGTTTTCACATATTTGTATTGCAATAAATAGACCCACTACAAATAGTTTTCTGCATTGAATTTGAAATTGTGTTGTTTAGGCGCAAGAGTCAGAGAAAAGTTTTAGAGTGACAATTTTAGAGGACAACCTGCCAGAACCAAGTGAGAGTGTGCTGATCTACTTAACTCAGCCGACAGGTGGCGCTAGAATAGCTGCAGGAAGTTCTGATGGTGGCCAAAGGGTCAGACATTAATCTATTTTTCTTATGTTCAATGCTCTAAGTCCATTTTAATTTAAAAGAGTATATCTCTGGCAGTTTTCTTTAAATTTTAAAATTAGTTTATAGTCAGACTTGAGTTTTTGTTTCTTTTTCTTCAACATCAATTGTTTACTTGATTTTTGTTGATGTCATCTCCTACTGAAAAAAAACCTATAAGAAACAGTTGAGTGAAAAGTATGCATGTCTTAGGGCTATGCTGTTATCAATATTGCTGCAAGTGACATGAGCAATGGGCTGATTGGATTTGCTGAGTCATCAAAAGATGTACATGCCAATGAAGACACCACACCACAACTAGTGCTGAAACTTACTCGACTCAATGCCTTTTATGGTGCTGTAAAGGTATGAAACATGAGTTTGTAAAGTGTGGAACATTAGAAGAGCCATACAATTATAGTTAATTGAGATAGTGGGAGTAAGAATATTTTTTAATAGAATGATGTACACAGTGACAATTGTATTTAATGAGTCCTAAAAATAAAAATAAATCAATGACAATTTTTTAAACTAGATTATATAATTAATGTATGAGTTTGTAAAGTGTGGTACATTAGAAGAACCATACAATTATAGTTAATTGAGAGATAGTGGGAGGAAGAATATTTTTTAATAGAATGATGTACACAGTGACAATTGTATTTAATGAGTCCTGAAAATAAAAAAAAATCAATGACAATTTTTTAAACTAGATTCTATAATTAACTTATCTATTTTCAACAGGTGTATTGGAAAGCTAAAAAAACTTTAAACAGCACAGATCAGGAAGATGCTGACCTAATCAACCAGCTGGACAATGTTTCAGGTTTCACGGCATGTCCAGCCAACAGCAGTGACTGTGACCTCATTGTCAACATAAAAAATGACACGGTCAGGAATTCAGTTTGATCACATATTATTCCAAATATTTCAATGTTTTCTATTTTCTTTACCAACAAAATAACTGTTTACTAATCAGATACCAGAAGAGAGCTACACATTTTATACCATACTGACTGGCACAGAGAATGATGCAAGACTGAATGAGAACAGCCTGTTTGCTTTTGTTACCATAGATCCCAGTGATGATGTTAGAGGACTTATACAGTTCTCATTAAACTCCAGGTAATACTTTCACCCCAAGCTTTTTTTTATCAATCCTAACAGTAACTAAATCTTTGTTAGACAATACTAAGTATGGTTGACTTTTAAGATCTAATGCCATACCTGTTTCTGACATTAATCAGTTAAAAGTCTTCTTCTATAATATATCTTAGCTTTCAAGTTTACTGTAGCTACCCCTTCATCCTGATAGTCTATTAGGCAGATGAAATAGGTTTCTCTGTTTCTTGACCATGACATATAAAGGGATGGTGTGGTCAGTGCTATGCTCAGTCGCCTTAACATTCCTTAGCGTGAGACAGGAACCCATTAGAGCTTGTTGGACTCTGGGACACACTACATACTTAAGTCTAAGATCTGTTTACAGATTTTGGTCAACAGTCAAGCACTCTACCATCAGGCATCACCATCACATAAATTTATTTATAACCTCAAATTATTAAGTGATGTTGACTTGTAACAAAATTTTTCATGCTTTCAGAGAAATAATAGTTGGAGAGAGTGCTCGTACAGCTCAGTTATCTTTAGAGAAAGTAAATGGCCAGAACTATGATGTATCTGTGGCCTACAACACCCAGCAAATGACTGAACGTCTCACTGTCTCAGGTGTCTATGTCTACCCTGCACTTGACGCTCAAGACTTCCGTGGACAGACAGGAACTCTGGCATTTCCTGCCAAAACCCAGGTGTCTGTATTTCTGCCGTCATTTGTTGTAATGTGAAAAATAAATAGTTGTATTGACGTATTGTTTGTCTTATAACTAATTTTCAAATTTAATTTTAAAGAACAAATAATGTTACTGATATTTTATTAGTAAGAGCTTGTACTGCTTATAGTTTACTTGATGTTTTGCTTATCTAATAACTATTTTAAAATCATTTTAGCCTATAACTTTTTAAAATCATTTTATAAATATTTTTTAAAATCATTTTATAACTATTTTTAAAATCATTTTAATGTGAAAAGCTAGATAGTTTAATTCATATTGTGCATATCCTATAACTATTTTTCATTAGTTATAATGTAAAAAACATTATCATTTTATGTGTAATTTGCTTGTCCTATAACAAATGTTCATGATATATCTTTGGCTAGACCATACAGAATGTAGACATTAGCCTGACACCTGTACTAGCATCAAATAATCCACTGCCCAAACAGTTCTATGTTACCTTGTATTCACCAACAAATGGAGCCAGGTTTGTATTTTCTTCATTTTTAAACATTTGTAAACAATATGTAGAAGTGTATTTTTTTCTCCATGGATGTTTTAGTGTAACAAATAGAATTTGCTAATGATTGTTTAAAATAAGCTGAATAGACATTTTAGTTCTGTAAACAGAATTTGCTAATTATTTTTCATAATAAGCTGAATAGACTTTGTAGTTCTGTAAATAGAATTTTCTAATGATTGTTTATAAAACACTGAATAAACATTTTCTGTAATGCAGAGTTAACCCAAAAGCCAACAGGGCTATTATTAGAATAGTGAAAGATGCGGATGTTCCTATATGGGCAGTGGTCAGCAGACCAGAAGAAAATCCTTTCTCAGATGATGGCATTGTATTGTAAGTTTTTATTTTGTGTACACATTTTTCTGTATTTGTACAAACTGATTGTATATTATGAACATTTTAATTGCCAGTTCAATGTTTGTTAGATTATTAAAAGTTTTTTCAACAACCTTTCTAGTGTAGTGATATTAATCTTAAATGTCTATAAAGCAGGTCCTAACAAAAAACAAAATGTTTCTATGGTCTTGGATTATTGTCATATATAAACAAAATACAATAATATTCATGTTTAAATAGCATATATTTTAAAAATTGATTTTCTTTCTGTCAGGTCTGTTATTGGTCAGCTGGATGGTTTGGTTCAAAAACCATTGACCAATGAGAATATACAACTGGTGGAAAATATTTTAAATAAAGTTAACCAAGAGGGTTCTCAGAGAAAGTAAGCCAAAACTTTGCTTCATTTTCAATTAATGAATATCAAATTAGGTTAATTTTAATAGAAACGGAGCTAAACAACTTTGTTTCATTACATTTTAATGAATAGCTAAAATAATTTTATATTTGTGAACTCTCATCTTCCACAAATGACTTGTTTCAGGTTACCAACTGAAGTGTTAACAGCAGTGAAAAATTTGTATTGCAAATTATTGGACTCAGCAATAAATGATGCTAGAAAAGGACGGAGTACATTATCCCCGTTACTGGAAAACTTTTCTTACACCCTCATCAAAGACAAGCCTTGTCCACCTGTCACAGCCAATGATGTGTCAGTTTTACTAATTATAATCTATTGCTTTAAATTAATGAGAAAACTTAGATGCCGGATTGAAAAAAAAAAAAACATTCTGTGCCAAAAATAAGTCTTGTTTAAAGCAGCATACTTTGCTATATAACTTACCTAGTTTGAAGTGCTTATTTTTCTTTTTTACAATCATTTATTTTTAAAACAATATAAGTCTGAGCTTAGTAAGTTTATTACTCATCATGAAAATAAAACATTATATTCTTAGTACAATGCTTTCATAAACTGAATCAACTCTATTTTATTTTTGCTTGATAAAGTAGAAATAATAAATAAAATAAAATAAGCTTACAGTATTTTTCAATTATTTTCTCATTGAAAACTTATTCAAAATTAATTTTATTTCTATTTATCATACAATTTTGAGACCTAATTTCCAAAATTATTTATTCCACTAGTACAAGTATTCAGTGTTCTGCTGTTACTATAACAGCAGGAAGATGGAACTCTCCAGTATTGTTGGGATACCAGTTTCAAATCCAGTATGTTAATTTTTTTGTATGTTTTGTATTTTTAAAAAAAAATTTTCTCTTAACAATTTCAAGCCCCTTGTTTTTCATTACTTAACATTTTTAATGTTTTATTTTTATTTTTTAACACCAGTACAATGAAAAATTTAAATTAACTCCCCTTTATGTGATCTTCAGAGCAGGAGATACATTTACTCTAGCAAACCCAATGCCTGAGTTAGATACTGCAACAGATGGGACTAAAGATAATGTAAGTTTTATTCTGCAAATAGATTTCTAATCGTAAAGGAAACTTTCCTTTATTGAAATAAACAATTTTATTTCTCTCAACAGTGTGTGGATTTTCACCTGCTTGATTTTAATACACAGACATGGTTCTATACTACAGATGGCAAGGATAATCTTATGAATGAAAGGGTGATTATTTTATCGTTCATAAATCTTCTTTCTTATTGTGTTGTAAAGTATGTATAACCGTGTCACACAAAGCTTGGTTGAGTAATGACTAAATGATACAATGTTTATATTTTTACAGGTGGTCAATTTTGGACTAAGAGGCAGACTTTCAGGGAGTATTCCAAGTCCTGTGAAATTTAGAATACACACACCTAATAATCGTATAGCAGCAAAAGATGCAAAGTAACTCATTATTGTGATATGTTGAATAGTTGTATTTTTAGTAAGAACATAGCTCCATGCATAAGTTGAATATTTGTATTAGTTTAATAAGAGTGAGCTTCATTATATGTTTTATTTCAACACCCACAGGTGTGTTTATTTTGATGAAAGTTTGACCAAGTGGGTCAGTCCATCAGGTGTGTGTCAGGTGACCAATGACTTGAGTCAGGCTGAGGATGACTTTGTTGACTGTGAGTGTTCCCACATGACCAGCTATGGAGTCATAGCGACTAGTCGGGACAGCAGCATTGTGGGATATCTCGTCTGGTTTTATGTTATTTGTTTCATTTGTATGGTAGGTTTTTAATTTGCCTATTGTTATATGTTTCTATGGAATATATGTCTAGTAGCAACCAATCCATTACCTTGGCTAGAAAAAACCAATCAATTAACTTTGCTAAAAAAGAACCAATCCATTAACTTTACTAATAACAACTAAAATTTTAACTTTGCTAGAAACCACCTTTACATTTACTTTGCTAGAAACCACCTATACTTTCACTTTGCTAGAAACCACCTATACATTTACTTTGCTAGAAACCACCTGTACATTTACTTTGTTAGAAACCACCTTTACATGTTCTGTGCTAGAAACCACCTATACATTTACTTTGCTAGAAACCACTTAGAACTATACATTTACTTTACTAGTAACAACCAGTACTTTCACTTTGCACAGGGCTCTATAGTACTGACTGTGTGTATACATCATCTGTGTTTCCGGCGAGCAACTTTCTCCGCCAGCTTACACACGCATTTTTTGATGTCCATCTTCTTCTTTGAGGTTGGTTAACTACTTTTACTTTATAAAACATTAGGCTGAGTTTTATTTAGGGTTATTGATAACAATGTTTACACACCTTTTAATTCAACCTGATTTTTGTATAGCTTATAAAATTATTTTTCTCATACAGCTATGCTTAGTTGTTGATGCATTTCTCTCCCCGGATAATATCCTTGTATACAATACTAAAATGGATAACTCCAAGTGCATTGCAATGGGATTATTTTTACACTATTTTTTCCTGGCTCAGTTTACATGGATTGCAACACAGGTAAAGTTACATAATTTATATGCTTAGACTCAAAATATGTTACATTATTTTGTAAATCAATATAAGTTTATATTTGAATTTTATCTTATATTTTGTTGATTGTATTTACTAACTTTTTTCAGTCTGTAAACCTGTGGAAAGTTCTGGTAATGAATGATGAACACACTGATAGACATTACATCGTATTTTTTGTTATTGGATGGGGTAAGAAAATTTTTAAAATTTCTACTTCTTTTATTCTTGTTTTTTCTTCTCACATCCATTGATGTTTCTGCCTCAGTTGTTTAGTATTTACAGCTAGGCTGATTCTTGTGGGGATATTTTTCTCAAGAAAATGAACTTGAGCATTAGATAAAGTTGGATAAGAGTACTGGAAAAAACATTAATAACCTAATGTTTTCTTGCATAAAACTTTAATTTTTAACCAATAATATAAAACGGAAATGAGAAATAATATCTTTTAAAATATTGTGTTGAAATATTTCAGGTGTTCCTCTCATCCTTATGGCTATTTTCTATGCTGTGACGTTTAACATCTTCAAATATCATACAAACCTACCCGTGGATTTTATTTATGGTGATGTGAATAACAATGCAGAAATGTAAGCTAATCATTAATTTTACTTTAATGTATAGGAATACATTTTTACTATTTCATTCAAACATCATTGTGCTAGCTATGCTAGTTAATACAAATATAATAGAAGGCTGTAACCTTATAGTATGTCATTTTTTTCAGTTGAAGACTTTAATTTTCTTTTTAAAAACTCAAATAACAATTTTCAATAAGATCACATTTCTTATCAAATATACATTTAATTATTTTTTTTTTAAATTCAAATAATTTGAATAAAAAGCTTCTTTATGCAGTTTGTTTAATCTCTCATTTACCAATTAATTTTTCCTCTGCAGATGTTTTATAACAAATGCCTATGTGGCTTTAGGAGGTATTTTAGCACCTGTCTTAGTGTCTCTGCTGGTAGTTGGTGTTGTGTTTGTTAAAGCTTACCAGCTGTCCTCACAGTGGCAATTTTATGATGACTTTTATCATGGGAGACACAACGCCAAAGGTTGGCTTATTCATTCACTAATTAACTTTTACAAATTAATTCTGATTAAAATAAGGATGTTAATTTAAAATTTAGGGTAAATTAATATAAACAAAATACTATTGGCCTACACTAATTGTTATTTAAATGCTAATACCATGTTTAAAAAAACAAGATGTTAAAAATATTTTTATTTCCACCAGAAATTCCCTTGTTGCTGATTCTGTGGGCTGTTCTCTACTTAACTTGTCTCTGGCTCGCTCTTCACATGATTTATGGGTTTTTGTGGATGATGGTGCTTTTTTGTATCTTCAATCTAACATTGGTGAGTATACAACCATATTTATGTATGGATGATTGTGCTTTTCTGTATCTTCAAATCTAACATTGGTGAGTGGACAATCATATATTTTTGTGGATGATTGTGCTTTTCTGTATGTTCAATGTAATGCAGTTGTATGTACTTAATGGGTTTTTGTGAATGATGGTACTTTTCTTTAACTTCAACGTAACACTACAGAGTGTACAACCAACTTTTTCCTCTTTTCTGAAATTAAAAAAAAGTAATAATTTAAATATTTTGTTTTCCAGGCCATAATGGTGTTTGTGCTGTACGCTATTGTCCGCAACCCCCATCTGGCATGGATATTTGGACCTAAAAGAGCGTCGTACTCAGTTTCTGCAGATGAGCAAGTGCATGATGACATGACAGAATTCCCAGAACCAGACAAAGACTTTATGCCTTATAACACAGCCACCAGCTTTAAAGGCTCACATACTTCACTGATTAATGACGTAAGTGTAATGTAACAATGTGTCAGCACATGTACATATTTGTAACTCCTACATAGAAGAGGAATACTGCTTAAAAGTATTTTACTAAGGCATCTGATGCATATAAATCCTAATTTTTAAGTGTATGAATACTTTTGCATGATCATGTTTTCAAAAATGTGTTACAGAAGTTATTTTAAGCTGGTAACTAGTTATAAAAAAAGTAAATTCAGAAATTTAAAAAAAAAACTTTATTCAAAGTTTTATTCAATGAACTTTAAAGTCTTATGTAAATCATGTTTTTTTTACAAGTTTTATTAAATTATCTTTACAGTTATATTACATTATCTTTACAGTTTTATTGAATGATCTTTACAGTTCAATTGAATTATCTTTACAGTTGTATTGAATGTACTTTAATGAAATAACATTTTTCTACCTAGGCCTGGGAAAACAATACATCTGGAGGAAGGAGCCGGATGACAGTTCGCCGAGCCCTCCCCTCCCAAGTGTACATCAACCCACCCGTTGCAATCATCAGCCCATCAGCCACCGTCCAGAGTGACAACCCAGACTTTGATGACCTCATTTATGCCTTGAAGCTGGGCAGGAGCCTAAGTCCCAGTGAGTTCTCTCGAAGTTTTGATGATGACGTGTCACAAATGTCCATTGTCTTGGATAGATATGAAACAAAACGTATTGATATAGCAGACACACACCTATAACAGTGGATCATAAACTTTTGGAACAAAATGTATTGATATAGCAGACACACACCTATAACAGTGGATCATAAACTTTTGGAACAAAATGTATTGATATAGCAGACACACACCTATAACAGTGGATCTCAAACTTTTGGAACAAAATGTATTGATATAGCAGACACACACCTATAACAGTGGATCTCAAACTTTTGGAACAAAATGTATTGATATAGCAGACACACACCTATAACAGTGGATCATAAACTTTTGGAACAAAACGTATTGATATAGCAGACACACACCTATAACAGTGGATCTCAAACTTTTGAAACAAAATGTATGGATATAGCAGATAAACACCTATAACAGTGGATTTCAAACTTTTGAAACAAAATGTATGGATATAGCAGATAAACACCTATAACAGTGGATCTCAAACTTTTGGAACAAAATGGATTGAAATAGCAAACATACAGTCAATAATGGATCTCAAATTTTTGAACAGTTTACTACTCTACAAAACTGTGTAGTATGCATTTGATATGGTTCTCATACATATATATGTGATATTTCTTCATGTGATTGATCTCTGTGTATAAATATTTAATTTGATGTAGTGGCAGCATTTTCTTTTTCCCCCAAAATCTCATGTTAATTATTTGTGGCAAACCTCTATTGGTTAATCAAAATAATGTTTGTGTTTTCTATGGAAGATAAGCTCGACCAATTTACTTGAATCTAAAGCTTAAAAAGTAACTACATTTGAAAAATATTATCAAACTGAGTAAATGAGAGGTCAGTCTAAATTAATCCATATGTTAAAACCACCACAAAAGCAGAAATATTCTGACCTCATGGCTAGATAACCTAAAAAGTAATTAACATAAAAATGTACTAAAAATAAAAGTCATATGGTTTATTTTTATTATAGTTTTATGCTAATACTTTTGTCTAACAATAATTTCCAAACTTTGTAACATTATTATTTGACTGTACTTATGATGTTTTTGTTATTATTTACAACAATGTTACAATTATATTTGTTTTGAATCATGTTTCACTTGCTTATGAAAAGCTTTTTTATATCGAACTAGCCGGCCCGCGGCATAACATACGCCGCTATTTAGTTGTTTCTAATTTTCAATAATTCATAATTTGTGAATTCGACAGTACCAACGCTGAGACTGAAAATATTTCTTTAAAACACTATAAGTAGCTCGTTAAGGACCATAACCCCCCCCCCCTTCCTTCCCTCCCCCCCCTCCCCCTCCCCCCCCTCCCCCTCCCCCCCCCCTACGTTTAAAATCGTTGGCTCTGCTTGTAAACATTTAGAGTGAACACAGCTCACTAAAACCATGTAGGGGTGGGGAGGTAGGGAGAGCGTTTGCAGCTTGTTTTCTAACGGCTCGAAGAAGAGAATTATATATATAGATTTGAGCAAGCCTCAATTTTAGACATTTTTAGTAATAACTCATTGTTTAATACATATGTTACCATGAACTTTATTAATCCCCATTATCAAGTATATGAAATTTATGTTTTTTTTAATTCATTCAATCAAATTCAATTTTTCAATACCATGCTATATTTTGTTATTATGTAATTTGAAAATTTTACTTGATGCTCTGCTCTGTGACCAGAAATAGAGTTTTTATTTTAAAAATATTTGTATCGATCTCATTGAGGTTCACATTCATGCTCAGCCTCGTTCTCTACCAGTAACTCATCACTGATGGAGGTGTATATCTTAACTAACATGTCAATAACATTTGTATTGATATCTGTAAAAAATATGTAGAGCTTTACAGTTTCACAGTTCTCTATTGTTAATGTAGGTATGGTTTTTGCCATCACATTTTATTTTATTAATATGAATTATCAGTAGGTATTTCTAACAATAATTTTTAACCGCTATAAACTGCTTAGACTACTTTCTAGCTGGGCTCAAACCACTGTTGTGACACTAACACAGACACAACACAACTACAATTACCAGGCAGATAACAGCACAAACTCTATTAGACAAAAAATGATTGAAATGACCAATTTATATTTAATGAAAGAACTGACCACTTTTTATTTAACATTTTAAAACACCACAGAAATCTTCAACATGTTAAGGCATGGTTGTCTGTGCTTGAAAATAGTTTGAAGGTTTGGGCTTATCATCCCATACACAGTATCACATATGTCACATTGATCACATAATGTTTTGAAAATAATTTAAAAGTTTGGGCTTATCATCCCATACACAGTATCACATATGTCACATTGATCACATAATGTTTTGAAAATAATTTAAAAGTTTGGGCTTATCATCCCATACACAGTATCACATATGTCACATTGATCACATAATGTTTTGAAAATAATTTAAAAGTTTGGGCTTATCATCCCATACCCAGTATCACAATTGTCACATTGATCACATAATGTTTTGAAAATAATTTAAAAGTTTGGGCTTATCATCCCATACACAGTATCACAATTGTCACATTGATCACATAATGTTTTGAAAATAATTTAAAAGTTTGGGCTTATCATCCCATACACAGTATCACAATTGTCACATTGATCACATAATGTTTTGAAAATAATTTAAAAGTTTGGGCTTATCATCCCATACACAGTATCACAAATGTCACATTGATCACATAATGTTTTGAAATAAATTATTAAAACATTTTTATAATATATACAGATCTTGATCATTGAATAAATTATTTGTATGTAGGTCTATTATTAATAAAATATTGAAGTAGTTTTGTACATGTTGAACTTTCACAAATGTATTTTTAAAAATGAACATGCTAGTCACACAGCATATAATTATTTTATTAATCTTTGAGATATCAAGCAATAGGTAAACGTGTACTTGATGAACTGAGACCAAGATACACACGTCTGCAGATAAAGGTACATACTGTCTAACAGATACTATCCACTGGCACTAAGACCAAGACACAAACGTCCGCAGATAAAAGCACACACCGTCCTAAAGTCCTCATCCAACAACCAGACTGCAGGTAGGATGAACGCCATAGCCCACCTGGCCAGCTCCACGCTACGGTTGGCTGACAGCGCCATCACGCAGTAGCTTTCAGGCAGACACGTGACCTCAGAGAGCCGCTGAGTGAGGTAGAGAACATGGACGCCGAGCAGCAGAAACGTCGCCACAGCCGTGTCCAGGAGTTTCTGCGACCAGGTCACCTCTCTGTCAGAGGTCACAGAGTCGGTCAGGCTACTCACCACCTGTCTGTAGTCACGTGATAACCGGTATCTCACATTCAGCTGGATGGCATACAAGACGACCAAGAAGGCCAGTAGCAAGGGTATGAAACCCCATCCAATAGTCAAAGATAAAATAGAAGCCAGTGAAATAATATACTGACAAGGGGACGCTACTACAACATTTTTCTTATTAAATGGTGATGTCACAGCTTGAATTTGCTGGGTGTTGACATAATCCGTTAGAACTTGAGGACAGGGAGTTAACACAAGCAATAGGAGAGCTACACATCCGAAAGTCCAAGGAATCCACAAACTTATCTGTGTCCTAGATACTCTTTTATGAGCGATGATTCCATATTTTCTAGTGATACAATATTCCAGTCCGATAAACATTAGACTAAATCCTATGACTGCAGGCACGCAGAACGTGTGGACGCCATTTATAAATGCCTTTAGTGTTAGATTTAATTCCTGGACACCTTGAAATCCAAGAGATTTTGCTGTATCCAAGGGAAAGTATGCAAAACACGCAATAATATTTCCTATACTAATACTTATAATTGTTCGATATTTCGACTTTTGTCTCAGAAATGAAGACGTTGCTATGGAAACAATGACAGCTGTGTTTAACAAAAGTGTAAGAACCGCAAATACTACGTTTTGCTTGGCACGAATGACGTCAGTAGTCGGCGCGTTATTTGCCACATTGGTGTTTGATTCCATTGTTTATACCCAATTTAAACGGCAGAAGTAATTCATGCAAAGCTTTAAAACTAACATCTGATCAGAAGATTTTATATCTGATGAATACAGTTCGTATTTTAGAATTAAGGCAGGAAAGGGGTTTCAGTTCGCCTGGAATATTGCACTGTACACTCTTGAAAAATATCAACTCCATTTAATGGTATCATCTAGAGAGAAACAATTAGTCAGTGTATTATATATATATATATATATATATATATATATATATATATATATATATATATATATATATATATATATATATATATATATATATATATATATATGTATGTATATACACATATACATATATATACATATATATATTTATATATATATATATATACATATATATATATATATATATCTCCTATATATACATTAACAGCCTATATACACATTTTGCATATATAGTCCTATATATATATATATATATATATATATATATATATATCCCTTTATAGAAGAGTTAGTGTGTGGGTAGATAGTGGATAGGCCTATATCACCCTAAAATTGCGGATTTATATCTGCCTTGTTTTGGTTTGTTATATTAAAAATCTTTATGGAGCAAATTAAACGATCTAAATCTGATTCTTACAGATGTTAATCATAGGTATCACAATGTAAACAAAACACGTGTATTTAAAATAATGTTGGCTAGCCCATCCTGGCAACTCCAAAACTTCCAACATTTTTTTTCTATCTTTCTAACGCACTCACTGAACTAAACACTAAGTGCAGGTACACAGAAGGCTCTTGTTTACTGAAAACATCAAAGTTTTGAAACCAACAACAGAAAATTAGAACAGGAAAAATGCAATGATTGCCTAATGGCAGCTGCTACTTGCCCCAAGCAGCTGTCTGTAAAAGATGCGATGCAGTCTTTTTTAACTTTAAAATTTTTGGCTCTATTTTAAGTTAAAAGTTGGCATCAGTTATGTTTATTTTACGCCACCCATGTAAATTATCTTGCACATAGGGGTCATCCATAAATGACGTCACGCTTTTTTTGACGATTTTTACCTCCCCCCCCCTCCCCTCCGTCACACGTCGTCACAAAAAGCCAGACCCCCCCCCCTTTAAAATGACGTCACACCTCAGCCTACAACCCCCTCAAAATTGCAGTTAAATTTTTTTTAAACAGCTATATTTTTCCAAAATCTTGCCTGAACTCTGTTAAAATAGAGTATTTTAATCAATTGTTAATACAATTTATTAAAACAGTTTTCTAAAACGCAAAATAACGTCTAAAATTCGTTTTCTAACATTGCTTTTTTATAATGCAAAAGTGTGACGTCGCACAATCTGAACCCCCCCCCCCTCCCCCTCATCACATACCGTCACAAAATTACGGACCCCCCCTCCCCACTACGAGTGTGACGTCATTTATGGACGACCCCATAGTATATAACGGATCGTCCATAAATGGTATCACACACACACAGGGGGGGGGGGGGGATGTGGAGGGACCCAATTTACTCAATCGTCTAACCATTTATAAATAGCCAAAACTCAGTGAAAACAAGAGCTAAAAACCAAATTATATGCAGTTTTATATAGCATTGTCCTATACCACAAAGGATAAACTACCCCTTTGTAAGAGATCCCTAACATTTGAGAAGAAAGAGGGTGAATAATAAAAACGAATACTAAAACTGTATATACGCGTATATAATCACTAAACACTTCCCATGAACTAATATTACAAATGTTATAATGTACATTATAAAAATAATAATAAAAATAACAATAAGAATCTAAACAACAGGCATATTCTAGTAAAATAATAACGATAATAACAATGATAGTAATAATAATAAATAGTGGAGAAAGAAAACATGTATGTTGTTAGATCTACTCTTGTATTTGTCTGTGTGTGGGGGGAAGGGGGGGGGGGGGTAGTATGCTTAATAGTCTAATTTCTATCAAGTTCAGCATACTATATAATGTTGATCTACGTACGGCATAACACGAGTTGCTTAAATAAGCTAAACATTCTTATGTTATTATTTTCAATAAAATAATAACGCACGACTGGAGTAATAAACATCAAATAGACAACACAATACTTACCTAATGTTTCACCCTACATTAGCCTGATTGCAAGCACACGCTGTCAGTTAAAAGTGGGTTGACTTACCTTAGCTCTACCCTAGTTTGTGGAGATATTTTCTTGAAACTTTGGCACGAAATGTACATAAGTGTAGCTACTCGCTGTTGTTACATCTCATAATTTTATAAACATAAAACAGTAATTCCCATCAACTGCTATAAATATAGAATAACAAAACAACGAACTAAAGCAAAAAATATAGACCTGCATTTGTTTACCTGTAACATCGGCGTAGAAATCACATACTGTGGTGGGTTGCTCACAAATCTGTCCAGGTACGCCCCTGACGGCACTAGAGAGCAGAACTTACCTGCCACAACGCAAGTGGGAAACTTCGCGAAATTGTTTTCTGTCTGCTCACGTGCAATACTTTATTTTTTAGGTAGTCTTGTAAAGCTACATGAGAAATTAGCGAGAACTACATAGGAAATCAGCTAGCGTTATCTAGATTTGTAAAGTTGCAAATGAAATCAGCTAGCATTATCTAGTTTTGTAAAGCTACACATGAAATCAGCTAGCATTATCTAGTTTTGTAAAGCTACATATGAAATCAGCTAGCATTATCTAGTTTTATAAAGCTACATATGAAATCAGCTAGCATTATCTAGTTTTGTAAAGCTACATATGAAATCAGCTAGCATTATCTAGTTTTGTAAAGCTACATATGAAATCAGCTAGCATTACCTAGTTTTGTAAAGCTACATATGAAATCAGCTAGCATTATCTAGTTTTATAAAGCTACATATGAAATTAGCTTGCATTATCTAGTTTTGTAAAGCTACATATGAAATCAGCTAGCATTATCTAGTTTTGTAAAGCTACATATGAAATCAGCTAGCATTATCTAGTTTTGTAAAGCTACATATGAAATCAGCTAGCATTATCTAGTTTTGTAAAGCTACATATGAAATCAGCTAGCATTATCAAGTTTTGTAAAGCTACATATGAAATCAGCTTGCATTATCTAGTTTTGTAAAGCTACATATGAAATCAGCTAGCATTATCTAGTTTTGTAAAGCTACATATGAAATCAACTAGCATTATCTAGTTTTGTAAAGTTGCAAATGAAATCAGCTAGCATTATCTAGTTTTGTAAAGTTGCAAATGAAATCAGCTAAATCTACATTTACAACCAGCTAAAGATTCTCGTTTGTAAATCAGCCACACTTTATGTAGGAGACTTTGGTCAATAGAATGTATTCCCAACATTTAGAAAGCTATTAAAGCAAAATGTAAGAGGTAACTTTTATAGTTAACGCTCGCGTTCATGTTTTTTGTTTGTAAATTTCACAACAACGTTGAGTAGACCTTTAGTTGTTTATATAACAAAACGTGATCACATTTTTAAATTCTTTTCTCTGTCAAATAAATGTGTATACATAATTTACAAAGCGTGCAAGACTTCATACCATGAACAACTTTTTTTTTTAAATTCCCAGGTAAAGTGATTACATAACAAGACATGCTGCTAGAGTAGTCGTTCCTTGCAGTGGCGTGGGCTGGGTGTGTTAGGTGGCTATGCCCTTCTCCACCCCCCCCCCCCCTCCACCCAACCAGCATTTCATCAAAAACAAAACTATTGTCTCAAGGTTTAGTCCCAAGTATTGCCGTTTCATGTTTTTAAATCCCTCCCTTAATAACAAATTCCGCCCACAGTACCTGTGTAACCCATGTATTATAAATATCATTACAGCTGATAGCCACGGTTTATTTCACTATATAAAAAACGGCGATTTGTATGAGAAGACAATTCAGTTAATAGGTAACAATAAAAATACAACGCTGGAATGAAGAGCTTGCCATCCATAGAGAAAGGTTGTATCAGTGCCCATTAGTGCTAATTAGCCAGGCGATTGGATGCCATACCATATTGGATGCCATACCATAAGTCTGTAGTGATGGATACATTATTGGATGCCATACCATAAGTCTGTAGTGATGGATACATTATTGGATGCCATACCATAAGTCTGTAGTGATGGATACATTATTGGATGCCATACCATAAGTCTGTAGTGATGGATACATTATTGGATGCCATACCATAAGTGTGTAGTGATGGATACATTATTGGATGCCATACCATAAGTGTGTAGTGATGGATACATTATTGGATGCCATACCATAAGTCTGTAGTGATGGATACATTATTGGATGCCATACCATAAGTGTGTAGTGATGGATACATTATTGGATGCCATACCATAAGTCTGTAGTGATGGATACATTATTGGATGCCATACCATAAGTCTGTAGTGATGGATACATTATTGGATGCCATACCATAAGTCTGTAGTGATGGATACATTATTGGATGCCATACCATAAGTGTGTAGTGATGGATACATTATTGGATGCCATACCATAAGTGTGTAGTGATGGATACATTATTGGATGCCATACCATAAGTGTGTAGTGATGGATACATTATTGGATGCCATACCATAAGTCTGTAGTGATGGATACATTATTGGATGCCATACCATAAGTGTGTAGTGATGGATACATTATTGGATGCCATACCATAAGTAGTCTGTAGTCTATGATTTGTTTTAGTTTCTTTCAGGTATCTCTTTGGGGGTGTGGGGGGCGCACATCTACTGCCAACGCACGAAACGAAAATATTATATAGAATATACATATAATTTAAGCCCCCCCCCCCCCCCAAAGCCAGAAATTTGAAGCGAACCTCCCTTCCCCATGGACAAGGTGTCTGGCCGTAACCCAGATTTATTTCAGGAAAGTGAGAATTTTTAAGTTCTATTCATATTATCATATAGGCCTACTCCATTTCACTCTCGTGTTGTTGTTTTTTAAACAGTCTACCACAAAAAAAAAATTGTGGAAAATAAACTTATTCAATTAACAATAAACTTTATTTTTTTTTAATAAACAAAAAAAAAGCCATTGTAAAAAATGCTTATTCGTCAGTTTGAAAAGCTGTTTCCTGTCGCCTAGCCGCGACATCACCAACACAAGCCAACCACTCAAGGGGAGTTATCCTAAGCTTCCAGAAGGGCGGCAACTCGTGTGGCTCTTTTGTTGTGAGAGATAAAATTTCAGTCGCTCTAAAAACTATTTTCCTGAGTACTTTAAAGTCAAGTAAGTTGTCGACAGCGTGGGAAGCTGAACTGTAATTAAACTAAAGTTAAATTTATTTAGTCTAATTAAATATTTGGAAAATTTTCAAGTGGAACCTTGAAACATTTAGGTTAATTAACTGTTCGCATAATGAGAGCTCTTGACCTCAGCATTTTTTAAATACTTTTTTCGACAAGTTCAACCAACAATTCCGAAACTTTATATAGGCCATCCACATTTTTCTACCAGACCACAACATCCACATTATACCACCAGACCACAACATCCACATTTTACCACCAGACAACAACATCCACATTTTACCACCAGACCACAACATCCACATTTTACCACCAGACCACAACATCCACATTTTACAACCAGACAACAACATCCACATTTTACCACCAGACCACAACATCCACATTTTACCACCAGACCACAACATCTACATTTTACCACCAGACCACAACATCTACATTTTACCACCAGACAACAATATCCACATTTTACCACCAGACCACAACATCCACATTTTACCACCAGACCAAGCCATTCATATTTTGACAGCTAAATAAGATCGGTGTTGAAAAACGCTCCTCTACATTAGATATATGCATTAAATTAATTGTGTCCAACTGGCCTACAAGCGTTCAAGTTACTTTGTTTCACCTGTTCTAGAAATGTTCATCAACTTATCATTTTGTTGAACTGTTCTACAAATGTTCATCCAATTAATTTAGTTCAACTCTTGTACGAAAACGATTGTTACGAATTTGCCGAGGAACTTATGGCATCTGGAAACCGTTGCAAACACTTAGCTCAGATTTATAATCCAACCCGTCTGTACCTTGTGCAATCTGTGATATGACTCGGATATGGCATTGTCCAGATGTGGTCAGCGGATTGTTGGTGAAAAGTGATGTTATTACATTACAACCCAGACGCCTTTCACAATAACACTTCGCAAATCCGAACTGTAAAGTTTGCAAGATAAGTAATTTCATAAGAGTCAATTAACCCCACTTGACCTTTAGACGTCTGCTTGCCAGGCCGGACAAATGAGTTCCTGCCAGTCCATGTAGGTCAATGTGGGTTAATAAGGGTCAGTGTGTGACAATGTGGGTCAGTGTGGGTCAGTGTGTGACAATGTGGGTCAGTGTGGGTCAGTGTGTGACAATGTGGGTCAGTGTGGGTCAGTGTGTGACAATGTGGCTCTGTGTGGGTCAATGTGGGTCAGTGTGGATAAATGTTAATTAAAAAGTAGAGATAAATCGACGGCACTAAAACAATTGAACAAGTAGGGTCAGCTGACCACGCCCCCACTTAGAAATGTATGATTCTATTTCTATTATGAAACAATTGTAAACTACAAAAAGTAGATTTAACTTAGTAACTACGTGTAATTGTAATTTATAGCGTGGGTCTATTAGTAATTGTAAATTTGTTGGCACTAATTACACTGCAGTGTTATATGGGACTAATTAAATTAGACAATATAATGTTTGGGTAATCGTATGTATAACATGGGTCATGCAAACGGAAGTGTGGGGGTGGGGGTGGGGGGGGGGGGGGGGTCAAGAGCAGCAGCCTAATATTCCAAACAACAATTTTTAAAATGAAGTAATTACTGATGTAAGCACTTTCCCCCAGCACACAGTTTACGTCAGGGGGTAGGGGGAGTGGGGTGTCGTTAGTGTTAAAACAATTAGCTAAATTACACAACGAATACAGGCTGTGGTAGCTAATAAACAAAATACAAAAATATAATATTTTGAGATCCTAAGCAGCTAACATCGAGGCCATGCAGAGGTAAAAAAGGAGTGCTTTTTTAATATTATAGTAGTTATAGAACTGGTAAAAATATATATTTTTTATAACATAATTTTTTTTTCGTCCGGGGGTGGGGTGGTGGCGAAGGGTTCGGTCCTCCCACTAGAAGAGATGCCTGAAAGAAACACTTCTTGTGACTGTAAAAAATTGTTTCTGCATCATAGCATCGGTACTAAAAGCATGCGCATTATTTTACTTAAGTTTCCAAGGTGAATTTTCTCAGCATAGATGCCTTCTTCATATTCTTCACATTCTTCACATTTTCACATTCTTCACATTCAATTCTAGAAACATAAAAAGTAATCGTACAGACATAACTACCAAGAGAACAGAGGGTTAGAATTTATGTTTTTTAAACTACAGGTTTTAATGGAATTGTAAGGTCAGCTCAAATGCCCAGCAATATTTACTTTCCCCGACAATTTTGGGTACACTTCAGACTTGGGTAGACTTTAGCCAGGTACCCCATAAGTGGGTAGACTTTAGCCAGGTACCCCATAAGTGGGTAGACTTTAGCCAGGTACCCATCATACGTGGGTAGACTTTAGCCAGGTACCCCATAAGTGGGTAAACTTTAGCCAGGTACCCCATAAGTGGGTAGACTTTAGCCAGGTACCCCATAAGTGAGTAGACTTTAGCCAGGTACCCATCATACGTGGGTAGACTTTAGCCAGGTACCCCATAAGTGGGTAGACTTTAGCCAGGTACCCCATAAGTGGGTAGACTTTAGCCAGGTACCCCATAAGTGGGTAAACTTTAGCCAGGTACCCATCATACGTAGGTAGACTTTAGCCAGGTACCCCATAAGTGGGTAGACTTTAGCCAGGTACCCCATAAGTGGGTAGACTTTAGCCAGGTACCCCATAAGTGGGTAGACTTTAGCCAGTACCCCATACGTGGGTAGACTTTAGCCAGGTACCCCATAAGTGGGTAGACTTTAGCCAGGTACCCCATAAGTGGGTAGACTTTAGCCAGTACCCCATAAGTGGGTAGACTTTAGCCAGGTACCCATCATACGTAGGTAGACTTTAGCCAGGTACCCCATAAGTGAGTAGACTTTAGCCAGGTACCCCATAAGTGAGTAGACTTTAGCCAGGTACCCCATAAGTGAGTAGACTTTAGCCAGGTACCCCATAAGTGGGTAGACTTTAGCCAGGTACCCCATAAGTGGGTAGACTTTAGCCAGGTACCCCATAAGTGGGTAGACTTTAGCCAGGTACCCCATAAGTGGGTAGACTTTAGCCAGGTACCCCATACGTGGGTAGACTTTAGCCAGGTACCCATCATACGTGGGTAGACTTTAGCCAGGTACCCCATAAGTGGGTAGACTTTAGCCAGGTACCCCATAAGTGGGTAGACTTTAGCCAGGTACCCATCATACGTGGGTAGACTTTAGCCAGGTACCCCATAAGTGGGTAGACTTTAGCCAGGTACCCCATAAGTGGGTAGACTTTAGCCAGGTACCCCATAAGTGGGTAGACTTTAGCCAGGTACCCCATAAGTGGGTAGACTTTAGCCAGGTACCCCATACGTGGGTAGACTTTAGTCAGGTACCCCATAAGTGGGTAGACTTTAGACAGGTACCCATCATACGTGGGTGTTCCACAGACTAGAGCCCTTGAGCTAAACTCGCCACTTTCTCGTTAGCAACCGAGCGCTCTAACACTTGACCAGGCCATCCAATGAATGAAGTCTATCACACTAGTGAACCAAAACATTCCAACTCCAAATAAGGCGAAAACACAAGACAGATCGTTTGACAGGCTCACGATATCTATCACCACGCCTCCCACGTGACCTGCAGAGTGACAATTTTAAAACACTGACAACTTGCTGATTCTCATCACTCGGCTCGTGGCTGTAGATCGACCATGGCGCCCTCCACTCTCTCGTTTTTTGCCTTGGTAAGTCGGCATGTTGCTTTAGAAGTCTAAAAAATTTCGGCAACTCTAAAATTGGCGAATTTATTCGTAGTTTTAGCAGTCTTTCTCAACAGTTGTTCTTTGCTTTTATTAGTTTACGCGTAATTTTAAAAGCTTAAAGTCTTTGTCAACTCCACAAATATTTCCTTTTGCGAGTTAATACGTAATTTTAGCAATTCCAGATTTTTTCGTAAACTTACGTTTTATGCAAACTTTACGAAAAATTTGATTTACTCATGAATTATATAACTAAACAGTATGAATCTTTAACCAATACAGCTTTAAAAGTCATGTTATGTTAAGCCTAACGAAATTCATTTGCTACTAAATTAGCTCCTATCTCTTCTATAAAAAAAAACAGCAGAGGTTTAAGATTTTAAATACAGTAAACACAACAGTGTCTTCTGCTTATTGTGTAGGCATTTTAGTAGTGTATTTAATCAACGCCTTTATTGTCAAATACTGTGGAGTTGTAGGGTCTTGGGATAATTTTCAAACTGATTTTCTAAATCCTGTTGTAAGAATTAATTTCTTTTTTTCAGGCTGTTATTGTGGGCATTGCACATTGTCGTAAGTATTTTTTTTTAAAACAACAAAAATTATTTTTTGATTGAAGTATTTCAGTAAAATAACGCCCCCCACCCCCTCTAAATGTTGAATACGTTGTTGATTGGGAAATGCCCTGCCAAATATACTTTCCCCGACGTTGTGTGTCGATCTTTTGACCTTTAAAAGTCTTGATTTCTTGTCAAATAACCGTTTTAACCAAATAACTGTTTTAACCAACTAACGTTCAACTCCCATTAATTTTTAATTTTATACCTGTACATATTTAATATCTGTCAACTAACAACGTGTATTATAATTTTTTTTGTAGAGCGAGGTAGAGAACCAAGAGACCAGATTCCACAAGGTAAGATAAGCTATAGGGCTGGTAAGTAGGTCAATAAACAGTTATATGGCTCATGCAGGTTTTATTGAGCCGTAGAGCTGGTTAGTGACCTACTTACCAGCCCTATAGGTATTTCGAAAATAGTTTACAAATTGATCGTAATATTGACAGACAATTTCTCTAAGGAAATCAGACATGTTGGCTTGTTATTAAAACGTGAAGAGTTAATGCAGAAACAAGTCTACTAGTAAAACTAATTTCTGCATGAAATTGCGGATTATTTTTTCCCAGCATGTCAGCGAAAGGTGATGGACATTTTTTTTATTCTGGACTCTTCGACATCCATCTACATACTGGACTACCAGCGTGTGCTCAACTTCACCAAAGAGATTATTGAGAGGCTCGATGTTGATTTTGATACTACTAGAGTTGGTGCACTAACATTCAGTGATCAATTAACGGTGTGTGGTACTGCTATCTGTCTATTTGTCTATTTGTCGTTATGTCTGTCTTTCTGTCTGTCTTCCTGTCTATCTATCTTTTTTCCTGTCTTCTAGCTTTCTGCCTGTTTTTTATGTCTTTCTATCTTTCTATCTTTCTGTCCGTCTGTCCATTTGTTTGTACTACCGTCTGTAACTTTTTTGATAATTTTTTGTCTCTCTTCTTTGCAGATTCCAATTTTAGATTTTAACAGCTACGTCTCAAAGAGCGACTTAATATCCCAAATAAACATAGACACCCTACCGTACAGAACAGGAAACACCAACACGCACACAGCCATTAAATATGTGCGGGAGTTACGGGAATTCAGAGAGGTAAACAAATCATTATTACTTCCCTTTACACATTATAGCGATCACTAAGAAAATGGCCATTTTCTTCGTTGACAACATACCACCTAGCTTTACTAAACTGACGTTTACAAGTTTTAGAGTCTTAATAGTTCAATAAAAGAAATAAAAACACGTACCTCAGTTTGTCAGTTATGTTTTTATTCTTTACTTCTTTTTAACATATTTATTATTAAGGCAATAAATCGTTCAATGAATAGACTTCCTTGTAATTTTTTTCCAGCTTTATCCGATGAACAAAACAATTCTAACTTCGTAGCAGATTCTAATTGTTTCTAATTGCTCAGGGTCGCGTTTTTTTTTTTTTGGGGGGGGGGGGGAGGCTTTTTCTGACAGGGGGTACTTTGAAAATGAATTACCACTTATTTTTATCATCTTTAGAATTGCCGAATAATTGTATCCGCTAAATGTAAAAGATCGAGTGATTGTAATTTTCGTCAACAATATATGGGTGTAGTTTAAAGTAGAAAAACCCGTTAAGTTCATGGATGGTTTGGTTTTTAAGCGATGATTTTAAATTAAATAGTACAAGGTTTGTAGCTTGAAATAATGCAGAATTTGGACTCTTTAGACTTCCGACTTTACCTAACTTAGGGTACGTTTTTTGCACCTTATTCCATGTTTGAAAAAATTCCTCCTTCTCCTAACTGTTTTAAAATTCTCCAGAGTGAAATTGTTGATTCAATTAACTATTGGTATAACTTTAAAAGTTATTACTGATATACCTATATACGTGTTTTCTGATATAACTTTATAGGTAGTTACTGATATATATATATATATATATATATATATATATATATATATATATATATATATATATATATATGTTACGGTCAAAGCCCGAAGTGCGGCCAAACCCCGGATTGGCCGGCCAATGCACGGATTGGCCGGCTCTCTTGGCCAAAGCCCGAAGAACTTAGAACTAAGATCGTATTTCGTACATTGGCCGGCCAATGCGCGCACTGGCCGGGACGTACTGGCCAAAGTCCGAAGTGCTTAAACTTGACAGCGTATTTTGTACATTGGCCGGCCAATGCGCGCATTGGCCGGGATGTCCTGGTCAATGTTCTATCTAGACTAAGTTGTGATCGCGTTTTCATTATTCTGGGTGCGGTTTCATTGTGAGTAACGTATTGTTAAGCTCTTGTTTGTATAGCATCCACATGGATGGAAAAAGAGATTAAGAGAAAGTACAAAAATATCACCAAAGAAATCATTACTATGTATCTTCGGTTGTGCAAGCCTTGTCAGACAAAATTGTCTAATCCCAAGAAAGGTCTTGTTTCCAAACCTTTGATATTTAAAGAATTTAACTCAAGATGCCAAGTAGATCTTATTGATATGCAAAGTAACCCAGACGGCAAATACAAGTTTATACTCAGTTACCAGGATCATTTAACCAAGTTCATATTGTTGCGAGCTTTGGAAACCAAAAGAGCAGAAGAAGTTGCTTACCAGCTGTTGGATATCTTCACGACTATTGGTGCCCCAAGTGTGCTTCAATCAGATAATGGAAGAGAATTTGTGAATCAAGTTATTTCTGAACTAAAGCACATGTGGCCTGAACTTAAACTAGTTCACGGAAAACCAAGGCATAGCCAAAGCCAAGGTTTAGTCGAACGTGCCAACCAAGATGTTCAAAATATGATGATGACATGGATGCAAACAAATGAATCAGCTCATTGGGCTTAGCCAGATGATCTTCAAATTAAGACTTTGGCCGGTCCACCATGGCCAGTCCGCGTACTGGCCGGCCAAAGGCCGAAATCAAGAGCTGTTTCAGACTTTGGCAGGTCCACCATGGCCAGTCTGCGGATTGGCCGGCCAAAGGCCGAAATCAAGCAAAGTTTCGGACTTTGACCGGCCTATGGGAGGCAATATTGGCCAATGCGCGGATTGGCCGGCCAATCCGCGCATTGGCCGACTTCGGGCTTTGACCGTAACATATATATATATATATATATATATATACGTATTTATGATATAACTCTAGGGGTAGTTATTGATATATATCAATATATAGTTATATCAATAACTACCCCTAGAGTTATATCATAAATACGTATATATATATATATATATATATATATATATATATATATATATATATATATATATATATATATATATATATATATATATATATATATATATATATATATATATATACGTATTTATGATATAACTCTATGGGTAGTTATTGATATAACTATATATGTATTTATGATATAACTCTATGGGCATTTACTAGTCCTACAAACCCTGTCTACTTCAGGACATAACTAAAGTTGTCCTACACACAGAGTTTCTTCCAGGCATCTCTTCGGGGGGGGGGGGGGCACCGACCCCCCCCCCCCCCCCCCCCACACCCCCTAAGAAAGTCTACCGCCCCCCCCCCCCCTGAACGAAACGGAATTCATATAGAAAATATATAATTTTGACAGTGTCCGCCCCCCCCCCGGAAATTGTTGCCCGCCCCCCCCCCCCCCCCAAATTTCAAGTGCTTCCCCGGAGAAAAAAGTCTGGAAGAAACACTGCCTACAAACCCTGTCTATTTCAGAACATCACTAAAGTTATCCTACAAACCCTGTCTATTTCAGGACATCACTAAAGTTGTCCTACAAACCCTGTCTATTTCAGAACATCACTAAAGTTATCCTACAAACCCTGTCTATTTCAGGACATCACTAAAGTTATCCTACAAACCCTGTCTATTTCAGGACATCACTAAAGTTGTCCTACAAACCCTGTCTATTTCAGGACATCACTAAAGTTGTCCTACAAACCCTGTCTATTTCAGGACATCACTAAAGTTGTCCTACAAACCCTGTCTATTTCAGGATATCACTAAAGTTGTCCTACAAACCCTGTCTGTTTCAGGACATCACTAAAGTTGTCCTACAAACCCTATCTATTTCAGGACATCACTAAAGTTGTCCTACAAACCCTGTCTATTTCAGGACATCACTAAAGTTGTCCTACAAACCCTGTCTATTTCAGGACATCACTAAAGTTGTCCTACAAACCCTGTCTATTTCAGGACATAACTAAAGTTGTCCTACAAACCCTGTCTATTTCAGGACATAACTAAAGTTGTCCAACAAACCCTGTCTATTTCAGGACATAACTAAAGTTGTCCTACAAACCCTGTCTATTTCAGGACATAACTAAAGTTGTCCTACAAACCCTGTCTATTTCAGGACATAACTAAAGTTGTCCAACAAACCCTGTCTATTTCAGGACATCACTAAAGTTGTCCTACACACCCTGTCTATTTCAGGACATCACTAAAGTTGTCCTACAAACCCTGTCTATTTCAGGACATGACTAAAGTTGTCCTACACACTCTATCTATTTCAGGACATCACTAAAGTTGTCCTACACACCCTGTCTATTTCAGGACATCACCAAAGTTATCGTCGTCCTAACAGACGGAGGTTCTAGAATCCAGGAACAAACAGCCTACGAGGTGCAGGAAGCCAAGAATAACGGGTTCTATTTCTTCGTGGTCGGCGTCGGCCAATACTTGGACGAGCAGGAGTGGCGAACAATCGCCAGTGACCCTGACGACAACTTCATCTTCAACATCACCACCTACCTGAACCTGGACCGTGTCAAGGTCGCTCTCCCTCCCCGGGCCTGCTCCCTGCCACCCATTCTTACGTCACAAAGTAAGTTTGTTGTCATCTAACGTCGAATTTTTGGGTCTGTGTGATGTCATTCAGGTCCCTGTATAATGTCATTCAGGTCACTGTATGTGATGTCATTCGGGTCCCTGTGTGTGATGTCATTCAGGTCCCTGTGTGTGATGTCATTCAGGTCCCTGTGTGATGTCATTCAGGTCCCTATGTTATGTCACTCAGGTCCCTGTGTGTGATGTCATTCAGGTCTCTGTGTGTTGATGTCATTCAGATCCCTGTGTGATGTCATTCAGGTCCCTGTGTTATGTCATTCAGTTCCCTGTGTGTGATGTCATTTAGATCCCTGTGTGTAGTGTCATTTAGATCACTATGTGTGATATCATTCAGTTCCCTGTGTGTGATGTCATTCACTTCCCTGTGTGTGATGTCATTCACTTCCCTGTGTGTGATATCATTCAGGTCCCTGTGTGACGTCATTTAGATCACTGTGTGTGATGTCATTTAGATCCCTGTGTGTGATGTCATTTAGATACCTGTGTGTGATGTCATTCAGATCCCTGTGTGACGTCATTCAGGTCCCTGTGTGACGTCATTCAGATCCCTGTGTGTGATGTCATTTAGATCCCTGTGTGTGATGTCATTCAGGTCCCTGTGTGACGTCATTTAGATCCCTGTGTGTGATGTCATTTAGATCCCTGTGTGTGATGTCATTCAGATCCCTGTGTGACGGCATTCAGATCCCTGTGTGTGATGTCATTTAGATCCCTGTGTGTGATGTCATTCAGGTCCCTGTGTTATGTCATTCAGGTCCCTGTGTGTGATGTCATTCAGGTCCCTGTGTGTGATGTCATTCAGGTCCCTGTGTGTGATGTCATTTAGATCCCTGTGTGTGATGTCATTTAGATCCCTGTGTGTGATGTCATTTAGATCCCTGTGTGATGTCATTTAGATCCCTGTGTGATATCATTTAGATCCCTGTGTGATGTCATTTAGATCCCTGTGTGTGATGTCATTTAGATCCCTGTGTGTGATGTCATTTAGATCCCTGTGTGTGATGTCATTTAGATCCCTGTGTGATGTCATTTAGATCCCTGTGTGTGATGTCATTTAGATCCCTGTGTGTGATGTCATTTAGATCCCTGTGTGATGTCATTTAGATCCCTGTGTGATATCATTTAGATCCCTGTGTGATGTCATTTAGATCCCTGTGTGTGATGTCATTTAGATCCCTGTGTGTGATGTCATTTAGATCCCTGTGTGATATCATTTAGATCCCTGTGTGATATCATTTAGATCCCTGTGTGATGTCATTTAGATCCCTGTGTGTGATGTCATTTAGATCCCTGTGTGTGATGTCATTTAGATCCCTGTGTGTGATGTCATTTAGATCCCTGTGTGATGTCATTTAGATCCCTGTGTGTGATGTCATTTAGATCCCTGTGTGTGATGTCATTTAGATCCCTGTGTGTGATGTCATTCAGATCCCTGTGTGTGATGTCATTCAGATCCCTGTGTGTGATGTCATTCAGATCCCTGTGTGTGATGTCATTTAGATCCCTGTGTGTGCTGTTGTTCAATTAAGGGACCTAGGTTTTGAGTAGACAAAAGCTGATGATTATCAATTTGGAATGAATCTCGATCGATCTTACTAATCTTTGATCACGTCATCCGTTATTTTAATATTAGTCCACAATTTTTTTTTTGGGATGGACATTTTTTTATGTTTTTGTGACTGTTTAGTTTTGTTATGTTGCTGAGAAAGACAAAGCCTCAATAAACTTGATGTGCAGTTGGTTTAAAACACCTTGATGTTTATTGACTATTTTACTAACCCATTTTATTGATTGCACTAGCGGACTTGTAACTCTAGCAATTACCTACTCGTGTAGGATGTGAGGTACGTACACAGGGCGAGCTGTACTTTGTCGCTGGGAATACAGCAGCCATCGAAGCCTACGAAGTGATCTCAAACTTCATGAACAGAACAACCCTCGCCTTCCCATTGGACAGCCGTTATGACGTCCACGTCAGCTATCTACTGAACGCCTGCTACGCTCCTGACAATGCCGAGTTCAAGGGTCCCAATGACTACTGTGAGAAGTAGGTTGAAACTTTTTCATGAAATCTCTTACATTTCTAACATGAAATCAATAACATAAAATTTCTAGCTGAAATTTCTAACATGAAATTTATAACAAAATTTCTAGCTAAAATTTCTAACATGAAATCTATAACATAAAGTTCTAGCTAAAATTTCTAACATGAAATCTATAACATAAAATTTCTAGCTAAATTTTCTAACATGAAATCTATAACATAAAATTTCTAGCTAAATTTTCTAACATGAAATCTTTAACTAAAATCTCTTACATGAAATCTATACTTAACATCTCTAACCAAAATCTCTAAACATGAATCTCTAACGATATATTCCAGAGAAAGCATGGGATCTGGCCCACAGACCTACGTTCAGCTGTTGAACAAACTACAGGGCCTTGTACCCGGCGTTCGTCAAGATCGAGGGGAGGTCAATCAAGTTGCGGTGCTTTTTGTTGACCAAGATGTTGCCCGTAATGTGAGGTAAAAAAATCCTTTGTTTTCTGTATTGTTTACTTACATAATTTGAATAGATTATGTCACAATATTAAATATTATTACATTTTGTATTTGACTTATTTTTTTCATTATAAACAATGAAAACTTCATAAAAATTGCAGGCGTTTCATAAAAATTAAAAAGAAATAAAGCGGGAGTAATCTCCCCTAAACTTTCTCGAATATACTTTTATATTATTACTAGGGATCAGAGGCGTAGCGACCCTTCCCGGCGCCCGGGGACAAACTTTTCGATTTGCACCCCCCCCCCTCAAACTTTCGATTTGCACCCCTCCCCCCCTCGAGATTTCGATTTGCACCCCCCTCAAACTTTCGATTTGCACCCCCCGTCGAGATTTCGATTTGCACCCCCCCTCAAACTTTTTCCAACCCATTTTGGCGCCCCCTAAGTTCGGCGCCCGGGGACATATGTCCCCCCCCCCGCCCCCCCCCCCCTCGCTACGCTACTGCTAGGGATGGCAACTCGGAATGTAGACATGATTCTTAATCAATTTTAAACTACTTAATTTTTTTTAATAGAAGAGAATCTCGTAGAAAAAAGAAATGCGCACCAAGTGAACAGCAAACAAT